AGGAAGGCCCAGTGAGCGACCTGCGAGCGGGCGACGGACTTCAGCGGGCGGGGGTGGTGTCATATCCGGGGGTGGGTGCAGAAAAAGTTTTGTCGGACTGCCCGAACTTTTTGATAAAGTCCGCGAGCAAGTCCGCAATGTGCAGCAACAATCGGGTTGTCGCCTCTTGGGCGGGCGGTGGCGAGTCTTGGGCTGTGGTGGTGTCGTCAGTGGGCAAGGCATCTTGGGAGACGTCCGTCGGCGGTGTGTTACTCGCACGACGGGTCCTCTTGCGGCAGCGTTTTGGGCAGCTGGTGTGCGAGGGAGGAGCGTTCGCGGGGGCCATTAACGTGGCCGGCGCGTGCTCGCTCACCTCGGTGGGCTGCTCGATTGGCTCGGTGGGCGGACGGCCTGTGCGGGCCACTGTAGTGGCGCGGCGGTTGCGCGCCTCGAGCTGGAGCGCAGGGCACACGCTGTGGTTCGCGGGATGCGCGCCCGCGCACTTCACGCATGTCGCGGGTTGCGCAAGCGGGCGGGGGCAGTTGGCGGCGGCGTGCGGGTCACCGCAGCGCACGCAAGCAAGCGCGCGGTAACAGCCGAGGCTGGAGTGGCGGAACCCCTGGCAGCGATGGCACTGCGCGGGGGCGTTCTTCCTTTCTCTCCAGGCTTCGATGTTGATCCCGGACATACTCAGGAGGCTACTCACCGAGTAGATGGCCGGGATGACGTCAGGAGTTCGGCGGATTGCAGCGTAGTATAGACTTCTGGGGCGGCCTGCTCGCGCCCGGATCTGCTTGGCGTATTCGACCGTGAAGCCCTTTTCAGCAAGGGCCTCTGTGATGTCCTGCGGCGTGGTGTCAAGGGGCAGTCCACGGATTGCCACCTTGAGGCTGCGGTCTTCTGGGCGAGCGTGCGAGTACCAGCTCAGTCCGGCCTGTCCCTCCAGTCCGGAGAGGTAGGCCAGGACGAGCCGGCTCTCGTCGTCGTCGAGCGGTGTGAAACGTATGCCAGTTCCATACGGGCGCACGTTGGGTGATCGGCCGAGCTGTTGGTGGATGGTGCGCAAGTGTTTCGGCCAGTCCCGCAGCTGCTCGACCACAATCGGCGGGTGCTTTCAGACCCGTTGGGACGTGGAGCGCTGCAGGAGGCCGGTTGCACAGTCGGGACAGCGGTGGGTGTCGTAGCGGTGGTGGGGGTTTTTTCTTTGGCAATGTGGGTAGGCGCGAAACTTTTTGCAATCTGCGCGTATGTCTGCGTTGGTACAGCAGTTTCTTGCACTTGCCCTTCTAGAGCGGCGGCGGCGTTTTCTTGTGGGGGCTGGTTTTCCTGCTGCGGTGGTGGGGCGGTTACATTAGTGGGTAAGGGGGCCTGCCTGGATGCGGGGGGTCTCCTACGCTGCGAGATCGCTGGAGGCGCGAGGCGTGCGTGTATGCCGCGCGGGGGCGTCCCTCCTCCGGTTGTGTCTCGATGGGCGTCAGGTAGAATGACTTCGGAGGTGGTAGCGTGAGTGGCATCGTATTGGAGTAATTACTTGCCTCGATGATTTGTTCGTCGTCGGGGCCGTAATTTGTGCTGGAGCTTGGGTCCTCCTCTGACAGGCGGACGTAGGCATAAAGCCACATTTTCAGCCCGTGTGTGATGAGGCCGGAGTCGATGAGCCGCCAGGCCATCACCACGTCCAATTCATATTGGACTCTTGGCGATGCCGTGGGGCTCACTTTGGCCGTGAACAGGGCCTTAGCTTGGGCCAAGCTGGGTATCTACAGCGTCATGGGCATTGCGGCGCGATGGGGGGCTACGTCTGCGCGATCTTGACCGAGCCACGCCTTGCGGGGCGCTCAGGACTGCGGCTGGGTGCTGTGGTGATCCAAGCTGGCGCGGAGGCGCCTGGCAGTACTCGCGGAGCAGTAAAGGCGCAGCTTTACTTCGGAGCACTTACGGTAAGACAGATCCGTGCGCAGCGACGTAGATACAGTTCATCCATCCGAGGGATGTTTGACCGACCAGTGTAATAAATGTCAGTGCTGTCATCCACATAGCAACAAATGCTGTTATTGCGTACAGCGTGAGCGACAGAGCTGATCTTTGAGAGAGAAAATATTTATTTATTTTCAAAGACATTTAAGTTGACGACCCGAAACAGGTTTTTTTTAAACCCGGACTACAAATAAAACCCCGCCCGGACGCTCCCCGGACGCCCCGTAAACTAGGACAAATCCGGGGAAACCCAGACGGATGGCAGCCCTATTTATAGGAGGACTTTATTTATAGGAATAGGCTAGTTTACTCATGTCGAATTGTATTAAATAAATGTTTATTTCTTAAAGTGTTTAGTCTAAGGAACCCTAATATATCGATTTCACTTCATAAAAGCAGAAGATTGCTGTAGAAATTTAATTTTAAAAAATATTTTTTAGTCTATATTTTTTAAACACAAAAAACGCTGTTCGCCACATTCGCCATGATTTTGACGTCTCTTGTGGTAAACAACTAAATGTCATTCGCGTGTTACTGTAGGTGGATTCTTTCGTCTGACTAAATTTATCTTAAAACAGTTTTAACTTTAGGAAAGAAAAAAACAGTAAACTTAGTTTTTTTTGACTAAACAAATTATGGATGCCGGCGTTGTGAAAGCAGAAAGCACAAATCTGCCAAGAATTGACGCATTGATGGTTGGTGAATTTGTTGCACTAAACCCCGATTTCTGCTCTGCGGAGCAGAGAAACGACAAGGCATCTATGTAAGTACAGTGCATTTAGTATTACAATGTAGTAATAAACATAAAACTGATACAACATATGAATAAGTGTAATAAAGTTGCGTAGGTTCATTTCTTTCGACACTTTAATCCACAACTTTCCTGGAGTCTTCAAGGATGTGTTTTTATATTCTCGTACAATACAGTAATGATAATTACTTTATTTTTCGTGGTATTTATTAGAAATCATGTTTTTTTTTATTATAAACTCAGTTAAAAGTAATTTTCTACGTGTTTACGAGTTTTTGTTTACCACAGTTCACGTCATAGCATAGACAATCTATAGACTAAAATGGCCGACAGCGTTTTTGTATGTCCATGAAAAGTCTATTTTAAAATTAAAGATTTGTAGCTTTCTAGGTTTAAAATAAATACAATACATTTTTTTTCGGTCTAATAGAACATTTATTAACCATTTAAAACCTTTTTCCAAAAAGGGTCAACTAGCCTATTCACATGGCGTGGTAAATAAAATAGGCACCTATTCATTCAAATCCTTTCAGCTTTATCAGGAAATAACACAAACTTTTGCATTTACAACATGATATGTATTGTGTGATATCTCACCAATATTAGAAAAATCTCAATGTCAAAAATCACTTTAATATTAATATGATATCGTCAAAGCTACTTGTGTTTATAAAGATATCAATATACAATGGGGCAGCACTATGTACAGGCGCCATTTTCGTTTCCTAGTAACTTTAGGTCTAAACGTTTATTCCGTTAATGTACTCGTACAGTGAAGTTAGTAACGTGAAGTGTTGATGAGTCGGTGCAGGTGAACGTGTCTATGTTTCCTAGTCGGCCGATCAGTTAAATGAAATGTTAACAAAAGTTTGATTACATACATATCTGTTTCTTATATTTAATTACCTATTTTAAAACTACGACGAGTTTGACTAATTAATAGTCAAACTCTCGGTTACCAGTTTAACTGTAGGATTTGTGTACAGTCTTACTGTTTTTTAACTAGTTTACTAGATAGGATGTCTCCGAAGAAAAAATTCGAAGTATGGAATTTTTATAATATATTAACAAATAAAAAAGTGGAGTGCAGAGAGTGTAAAAAATATTTGTTAATTTTGGAAACACCATAAATTTATTCAAACATTTGAACAAAATACATCCATTCTTTTATACAGCGACAATAGAAAAAAAAAATGAGCGAGCCTTACAGTAGTGGCGTATGATGTGTAACATTTGAAATCTCACCTTATATTAGTAAAAAAAGAAATAAAACCTACTACAAAAGGAATTAGCCATTTGAACATTATGTTCTAAAATCAAATCAAATAGCGTTCGCTTTCACGACTTCCTGTTTACACACTACCGTCCTATTTCACGAAATCACTCCCACAAATTGCAGGAAAGTGAGAGGAAAGATGTTACATATCAAAAAGTAAGCAAAATGTAAACGAAAGCTTTGATGACAGTTCTGATTTGGACTTGGAGTCATTAGACTCATTAGCATCGCCATCAACAAGTCAATCAAATGATATTGACCAAGTACCAGCGAAAAGTCGTAAAAGACAAATACAGATAACTTTTATGTCAAAAAGTGCTATTCAGGTCAACTCGAAGAATATAGACCGAGATCTTATTAATATGATGATTATAATAATAAAAAATGACTGCTTATACAATTAATCTATTATTATTGACATATTTTCCTATCATTCATATAATATGATTTTTGATGATGATGAAGCAAATTGCAAGGTCTGATTAAAAAAATACTCGAGATCAGTAAAGTATTCGAATATTCGTGCTAGTACTCGAATACCTGTCCGAGTCTTCCGACTCGAGTCCTAATTCGAATCTTTTCTTAACGAGTACTAAAATACCCGAATACCAAAAATAACCAACTCGGCACATCACTACAATAGTGCTAGCACCAAGGAGTTTATATTGGTGTCGATTCTGACATGATTTTCTAAACCTAAAACTAAATTTAACACCAGTGGTGTTGATTCTGGCAAGCTTCTCTAAATCTAAACTTAAATTTTGACAACAGTGTTTTCTTGTCATCCTTTATACAGAATAAAAAGAAAAACTCATGTTAAATTTAGTTTTAAGTTTAGAGAATCACGCCATTTAGAGAATCAGATTGAGAATTGTCTCCTTCTCAATCTGTATAGAGATAGCGAATGATAGGAATGGTTTCTGTGCTTTACACATTTATGTATTGTATCCAAACATAAAACACCATAGAGAAGACAAAAAATAATTTCCTCCGACGCCCGCCATTCTTGTTTGCTGTCAACAGCCCTAATGTCGTGAATTTGTGAATGATTGAGTTCGTTGAGGCGCAATTTATTCAGTGTATTCGTAGTAGATAGGATTAATTTACACAATGTCTAATATATCACTTGATAAAGACACATTTTTTCGTCGCATGAAAAAATTTTATGCGGCGTGGAAGGTTGGCATTATTCTCGGTACCTTTGGTACTTTATTATAAATCAGTTTTATAATATTTATTGATAATTTCAGGCAGCTGCAGCAGACCCTAAAAGCGACGATGCCTTGGCTAAAATTGATTGCCTCGTTTCATGTGTTGGAGTCGACGAAGATACACTTTATAGCAAGTCAACAGCGTTACAGGTTCGTAATATCTTCCTCAACAATGAGTTACACTACCCTTGAAAAGGATATAAGGACTATGGATTGTATTATGTGAGATATGGTAACTAAAGTTGCTTCTTATAATTGAAGTATGATATAAATCTGCTAAATTGTTCCCACTGGTGGTGCATAAGCCTTTGTTACGGACTTCAAAGAGAAAACTAGCCATGACCCACCATATTATGCTTGATGAATAACCCTTGTGTTAAATAGGTGATATTTATACAGTAGGGCCTCACTTATCGGGGCAGAGGAAAAAGAAGACCTCTTCCGAATTATCGAGGCATCATATGCATTAGTTTTAATAGGAATAAAACACATCTGTACTTGTGTTTTTTATTTAGAAACCAAAAATTTAAGAGTTCTTCTTGAAAAAGTTGTGTATTATACCCCCATGCGATCCTCTCGCCTATACAGATTTGCAGTGTGGACTGAAGCAAGGGGGATCCGGATGAGCGAGCCTCTAACATACTTTTTTTAAGTTGCAACTTTCTCAATCTGGCTAAACTATACTTCCAGGGCCCAAGTGGTAATACTTCACACTAGGTTAGGTTAGTGGTGTGACCATTAAGCGAGAGCAAAGCGAGTGTGCCGCTGTAGCGGCAGGCGAAGCGCCAGAAAAAAACTTATTAAAAGAGACCTTTTCTACAAAAAAATTCAATTGTCACCTCTTGGGCCCTGGAAGTACAGTTTTACCCTCAATCTGTCAAGTCTACAATGTTTTAAAGATAAGTAATGGTGGCACTTCATCTTCATGCCTTTTCACAATTATCTATTTGTGATATTTGACATAAATGTATGTAGTTGCAATGTGTGGTTAGCATAGTTGACAAAAAATTGGCTTATCTATTTCACAAATAGGATCAATAACAAATACATGTTGTGTGTTTTTCAAACATCAAAACAGCACATTGTGTCTGGCAATTTTGGAGTATAATAAACACTACTATGGAAACACTGCAGAGCTAGGCAAAGTTCCACCATAGGTTGCATTTAAAACCTATTTTTCTTTTCACAGACATGGCTATTTGGATACGAGCTACCAGACACTATTACAGTCCTCACAGAAAACAGTATGTGTTTTCTTGCAAGCAAAAAGAAAATTGAATTCCTTAGACAGATTGAAAATGGAAAAGATGAAACAGAACTACCTCAAGTTAAATTACTCATAAGAGACAGAGTAAGTTTTATTAAAATTAGCTGCTATCATCAACATTAGCTCACTAATGTTACTGCTGTGGCACATAGATAGATTAGAGAGATTAAAATTAATCAGTAGTATTTATTAAGTACTTGAAATTTAGTTAATTAATAATATTAACTTTATTCTCTTATAACTGTTTCATATTTTATGTCATTAAAACATGAAATCGAAATAGTATAATCGTCTTTGCCCAGTTTCGGTAAGTAGACTACTATAGCCTCCCTCCATGCTTTCGGTATATACTTGAACGTTAGGCAGGCCCTAAAGATTGGTTGTAGGTATTTAATTGCCTGGCTGAGTTGCCATTGTAGTAGCGCCGGGGAAGATACCATCTAGTCCTGCCGACTTGAATGGTTGAAAGCTCTCTAGAGTCCATTTTATCCTTTCCGCCGTTACTATCGTTTTTGGTAGGTCCCATTCCTGGGTTGTCGGTGCATTGTGGCACTTACTTGACCACTCAAAGCCAGGTTGATGTCCTAGGAAGTATGTTTCCAGTAGCATCGTATTGGCTTGTTCTTTTTTGTATAAGTCCCATTTTCCATTTTTAGAGACCCAAGGAGGTTAGAGTTGTCCTTGGACAACATTTTCTTAAGTCTGGCTTGGGTACAAAAATGCATGTCCTTGGTTTATCAATGTTGTTCAGACCGCAAATCCTATTTTTTCTGATTCAGGGTTCCTTGATCAGGGCGACGGTCTTATTGTTCGTCTCCAGCACCCTGCGTAGAGTGGCCGCCGCTATTTGCTTATGCTGGAGATTAGTGTTGTTGGAGAGACTAGGACGACGTAGAACGCCATCTTCATCATTGAAGCAGTCAGAGTTTAGGCTTGCTTCCAGTTCTATCTCGCTCGGACACCCGGTTGGGGAGCTGAGCTGGTTGGTATCGGGATCGCAGTGCCTTCTGCTCTGTAGTCGCACTCGGTGTTGCTACTGTCAGGTCAGCCGGTGTTGCTTCGTCTGGCGCGAAAAAGCGGATGTATCCGCTGCTAGTCATGTGTGCAACACGGCGTTCTCTGTCCAGTATTGTTTGTTTTTGGTCCTCAGGGATTCCCAGGATTAGGTGGACCACCTTCTCCTTCGAGTTTCTCTCCGGTTTGTTATCAACCGTCATGTCATAGCACTGCCAGGACTCGCTGCAGTGTGGCAGACTCGGTGATGCGTCTATGAAAAAGAAGCCCAGCTCTGAGTTTTTTCTTCACATCCGACAGCGTGGTGATTGTTAATGTGGTGTTTTGGATGGGTGACTGGATAGTTTTCACCGTTTGTTCGAGCCACTTGAGTGTGTTTTCGTCCTCACACCACACCGCTAGCAATCCGTCCAGTAGGAAGAGTCGCCCGCAGAAAGATGGGGCCTGCGCATCCAGATACTGTGGAGTCAGAACAGCCTGCAGGATGCCATCCCCGAAGGTGTCCTTCAGCTCGGCGGGACGGTAGTGACCGGTATTCCCAGGTACGATTTACTCACATCTGGGTAGCTCACCATCCGCTTCGTCCTCGCGTCAGGTTTCGCGCGCTTGACACACAATCTTCTGTTCACACTATTGTGTGTCGTCCAGGCGTGGTCGCTTCGCAGAAGTTCGAAGTTGCCTCGTCCGAACAAACCCAACCTCAGGCTGCTCTTTTTCAGGAACAGTGGGAGCCTGCGCAGCGATACGCCGACCACGAAAACCCCTCGGTTTCGGTCTCTGCCGTGGTTGTTTGTTTGTGTTTGCTTTGTCAGCCCTCTGTATTTCTATAGGCTCGCGCTGTGTTCACTGCTGCGGTGGCCGTCTGTGTTTTGTCTTTGTTTTTTATTTGTTTGGCCCTGCGAACCTTTATGTGGGTGACTGTGGGTGGCTGCCGTATTAGCAGTTCCCCTTTTGCATGGGGCGCTTATGGGCGACCACAGACCACTGTGTAGTTCTTATTGTTGTGGATTTTTGTGTGGCTGGAGTTATGGCCTCAGCTAGGCCAAACAGGTCCAGGCTTGCGCTTTTCCCTGAGCTGTTTTTTTCCTCCCCAGAATACGTAGGACAGACCAAGCTAGACTTGGTGAGGGATTCTTCGCGAATCGCGATACCCTCTTGGGGTACTGTATCTATTCGCAGCACTCATGTTGTTTTTGGGGCTTTATCGGAAAGTGCCAAGTAAATTAACACAACTACCCAAGGGTGTGTGGTACAATCTTTTAGGGGGTATTTAGTTCTCCTAGGCCATGTGGGCCTGGTTGTGGATATGCGCCGCCACCGTTCGGCTATGCGGGAGTTGTGGTACGCCCAGAAATTTCTGTTATGACAATAACAGAAGGTAATTGACCAAAAACGGGCGGCAACCTCGTGAAAGATAGTCCTCTGGCCTTGATTAGGGGATCTTTATGACTTGCGTTACCCCTTAACCCGTTCGCCAAACCCAGTATCGGACAGATACTGGGTGTAGGTGATCATCAAGCAAGGACGAGATTTTAAGTTTTTAAGATTTATTTTTTGACCAACCCTTGCCTTAATTGAACAATTATTAACTATTTAAAACCTATTTCCAAAATGTGACAACTAGCCTGTTAATGAAGTAGAAATATTATATATATGTTTTGTGTGTTACAGAATGACAAAGACAAAGAAAACTTTAATAAACTTATACAAGAGATTAAAAAATCAAAATCTGGTAAAAATCTTGGTGTATTCGCTAAGGACAACTACCCTGGAGAGTTTTGTGAAAGTTGGAAAGCTGCCATGAAAGCAGAAAAGTTTGAAAATGTAGACATAAGCTCCTCTATAGCTTTACTTACAGCACCCAAGGAAGATCCCGAAATCATAACAGTTAAAAAAGCTTGTCTTGTCACAGTTGATGTTTTTACCAAATATTTAAAAGATCAAATCATGGAAATAATTGATTCAGATAAGGTATACATATTCAGAATCAATCATGATTGTTATGTCTTAAAATACACATACTGTAACTGGATATTGTTTATTACAGAAAGTTAAACATTCTAAACTTGCTGAAGGTGTTGAAGCAGCAATTTCTGATAAAAAATATGTCACAGGAGTTGACACAAGTCAAGTGGACATGTGCTATCCACCCATAATACAGTCTGGTGGGAACTACAGCCTCAAATTTAGTGCAGTTTCTGACAAAAATCACTTACACTTTGGAGCAATTGTTTGCTCTTTAGGTGCTAGATATAAATCATATTGTTCGAATATAGTCCGCACATTGTTGGTAAATCCCACAGATGATATTCAAAGTAATTATAACTTTTTACTGAATGTGGAGGAAGAGGTGATGAAACATCTCGTGGCTGGTGCAAAATTGTCAACAGTTTATGAAGCCGGCTTAGCGTTAGCTAAAAAGGAAAAGCCTAATTTGGTAGACAATCTCACAAAAAGTTTTGGGTTAGTAATGATCTAATTATACATATTATAAATTAACTCTAATTTATAAATTGAAATATTTTATCTACACAATTTAAAACATTATTACTATATATTCTGAAACAATATTAAAATATCCAATGTCATAATTTTAAACAAAACCATGATAACACCCAACAGGTGTTATAATGTTGTACTTAATTTCATAATAACACTCCTATGCTTTTTTAAGAACTTCCGCGCTATGGGCTTACTCCATTGACAGTCACAATTTTCACTGCTCGCTGTGTGGAATTATGAATTAGAAAAAAAGAAAATTGTCATTAACACATTCACTACCACAGCACCGAAACTTTTCATGAATTTTTAAGTTCTTTCTATGCTTTTAGAATCTTTTATAGAGGATTTATATCATGGATGTAGATAAATTCTTGTGTGCAACTGTTTACAATTAGGTATTAAGACACTCATGTGATACTATTATCACACGAGAAAAATCAAAGTTTCATGTTTTAATACCCTCATTGTACAACAGTTGCATAAATAACAATTATTTTATTTTATAGATTTGCAATGGGTATTGAGTTTCGGGAGAGTTCTATTGTAATTGGTCCAAAAACTACAATAACTGCTAAGAAAGGGATGATATTCAATATCAACATTGGTTTGTCAAACTTAACAAACAGTGCTGCTACTGAAAAGGAAGGAAAGGTAACCTACTTTTTTCTTTAATTTATTCGTTATCATCCTCTTCGATTTGACTGGCAATATACATAATGTAATGATTTTTTTTACTACAATCAGTCACCAGACTATAATTTATTTTTGTTGAGTTAATAGTAGTTAGATAATTTTATATGCAAGCAAGTTCATAAAATTTAATCTTAAAAAACCCCAATGTTGTTGCTGTTGTGTACTCATGAAAAATAGGGGCCCGTTGACAGCGCAATGATTCTGTGATGGTTTAATTTTGTAATAATTTCAGACGTATGCCCTATTTATTGGTGACACGGTCCTAGTTAATGAAGAGCAGCCGGCTTCACTTCTCACACAATCTAAGAAGAAAATCAAGAACATTGGAATCTTTTTGAAAGACGATGATGAGGAGGAGGAAGAAGAGAAGGAGAATAAGACTGAAATACTTGGTGAGTGGTAGCTTACTGTGTCAAGTTCGAATTGGACATTTGAGGTTGTTAATCTTGCTTTTGCTTCAATATGATGTGTACACTGGACAGCAAATAAATCGATTCACTTGTTACCCCAGAACTCTTGAAGCTTACCCCAGAAGCGGGTGACCTGGTTTATTTACAGTTGAGTGTATGAAGATTTTTCTTTGTTTTAACTATTTCTTGTTAGACCATTAACTATGTGGTTTTGTTTTAATTATAACACTGTGTTAAGTTTATAGTGATAACTGCTATTAAATAAGATTTATCATTATGTGAAGTAATTCATGCCATTATGACAAATTTCAAACTTGAAGATGTACATTCTGGAACTACATCCTGATTTAATAAATTCAATTAAAATTTATAATTATTTTCTAAATTGTTGCCACCCAATCGTGGCATCCAGCAGTCTGGTTTTATTAAATTCCTAGGCTGTAGACTTTTATTTTGTGTCTCCTTATTGTACGGGTGTTCAAAACAGTGGAACAGTTAATTAAATGGGATATTGTGCATAACTCCTGTCATTAAAAAAAAAGGAATCGCAAATGACGACGTAAATCTGTTCCTCTCGCACATGCTTTCCCAAGTAACGTGAGAGAGAGAGAGAGACAGAATGTCTTGCATCAGCATTTTCGATTAGTTTCTTTATTGAAACAAGTTATATCAACCATACGACGGATATACAATAGAAGAACATCTCGTAACGAATTAAATAGTAATATAAAAAATGTAGTAAGGTAGTCCCACCAATATCCGACAAGAACCAATGATCGGCATTTTTCTTAGATCTTCTTTTTATTTTTGGCTATTGTGACTCTCAAAAATTCTGCCAATATCACGTAGTTGGCCACTACACGGTGCTCCTTACTGCGATTAATGTAAAATTTAGTAAGTCAGATCACTAAATATGGTAACACCAAATGTCTATAGCGCAGTGTTACCATATTAATTTTTTAATAGAAGTAAATTTGATAAAAAATACCCTTCATACATTTTTACCGGCTGCCCCATTGTTTTGTATTTATCTTTTCTTGTAAATTGTAGTAGAAACTATTTTGGAATAATTAATTAGCAAATGGATGACTTAACATCTATTTCATAACTATTTTTAATTGACCATTTTTCCACTTCTCTTATTTATTGGCAGAACTAACTAATACTTTTAAGAGCTTATAGGCTTATTATTATTTGGAAAGCTGATAATGAATTGTGTATTATTTATAATTTTTATTTACTTACATGCAATCGTGGATGGATAGAAAACGGAGGTGAGTCTGCACTGTTTTACAACTGAAAACAGCCACTAGTTGCATGATAAGTGTGTAATTTTACATAAGCAAGCACTTGAACGTATCAAGATTATGATTTGATTCCCATCTATCAATACATAATTTAATTTTTATTTGAATAAAAGCATTACTTAATTGCATTTAAAATTTGATTGAGAAACTGTAGATTCCATCATTACCGGACACTCTTTGTAGTATTCCCAATTAGACTTAAAAGTAAGCATCATATATGTATATAAAACAGTTGATTTATTATGCATGTTGTTTGTATTGTCTAATTGTAGTATCTTAGATTTGTGTTTAATAACTATATTACTGAGAACATTTGACATTTGTAGGCAGAGGTAAAAGAACCGCTGTCATTGAATCTAAGCTGCGTACCGAGCATTCCTCTGAAGAGAAACGTAAGGAACATCAAAGAGAGTTAGCCATAGCGTTGAATGAGAAAGCCAAGGAGCGTTTGGCGAAACAGTCCAGTGGTAAAGACAGTGAAAAGATCAGAAAAAGTACTGTTTCCTACAAAAGTGTGAGTCAGATGCCACGGGAAAATGAAGTTAAGGAATTGAAGCTGTATGTAGGTAAGTATAAATGTAATATTTTACTTAGAATATTTGATTAGCTTATATGACACTGTGGTTTTTTGAACTGATGGAAGTATATAACATTTAGGGAGTTAACATAAAAATCTGATAAATTATTATCTAAAACATTGTATATACAGAGTAAAAAATGTATTAATGATTTTTCTAGATCGTAAATATGAGACAGTAATCCTGCCCATATTCGGGGTGCCCGTACCATTCCACATATCCACCATAAAGAACATCTCGCAGTCAGTGGAGGGAGATTACACTTACCTTAGGATAAACTTCTTCCACCCCGGAGCTACCATGGGTAGGAATGAAGGTGGTAATTACTCACAACCGGATGCAACTTTTGTTAAAGAGGTGTAAGTAATTGATTACTTTTTTAAAGTTCCGTTATAACTAAGCCATTGCTGTCGGTTCATCTTTTTGTTAACAGGCTATGTCATGAGCCATAATAGATAATATAAATAAAATCTTTACTGAATGTGTAATTCTACTGCTAATATAACAAAAACACTGATTTTGAAGTAAATATAAAGAGAGTGCAGTACATGAAACTTTGCCATGGTGATTTGCAAGCAATGATATTTATGTACCCTACTTTCTGAAAAGCAGACACTTTACACATGGTGTGTAAATGATAATCTAGTAATATGTTTTCAAATATTTCACCAGCACATATCGAAGTACAAACACAAAAGAGCCTGGTGAAATATCACCGCCTTCGTCAAACCTGAACACAGGCTTCCGGCTCATAAAGGAAGTGCAGAAGAAATTCAAAACGCGAGAAGCGGAAGAGAGGGAGAAGGAAGACTTGGTTAAACAAGACACTCTAGTGCTCTCCCAGAGTAAAGGCAACCCGAAACTAAAAGATCTGTACATTAGGCCTAATATCGTTACTAAAAGGATGAGTGGATCACTAGAGGCTCATTCCAACGGCTTCAGATTCACATCAGTGAGAGGAGATAAAGTGGACATATTATATAATAACATCAAGAACGCGTTCTTCCAACCTTGTGACGGCGAGATGATCATACTCCTACATTTCCATTTGAAACATGCCATTATGTTTGGTGAGTAATTTACAATAAGGAAATTTTCATTCAGTTTCTGTTATAACTTCCTCATATTATTATTTGATTATTCAATTTTGCTATACTTGCACAACAATGGCCATGTCGATATATTAGATTTTAAACTAAACAATATTACCATCTTGTTTATCTAATGAAAATTGTGACTAGATTATTTTTATGTAAAAAATACTGTTGTTAGTATAAAAATATATCACATTTTTAAATATTGAAAGCCTTGATAATATGATGACGTCACTTAACTTGGCTGTTTGTATTTGCTAATTGTAAACTTAGACAACAGTCCGTCCTTACCATCCTTAATAAAGAATGAAAAGGACAGACTGATGTCAAGTTTACAAATAGCAAACACGAAAATCCAAGTGCAGTGCACACTGTGTTTGTTACCATAATCACTCCTAAATAGCTGAATCAATGCCTGAATCAATGCCTAAATAAATAGACAGAATCAGTCTTGATGAGTTTTGACATAGAGACAAACTTGGATTTAGGCTACTTTTTATTGCTACACTTCAAAGACTCCAAATTTCATTTCAAAGATATTTTTTTTAAAAGGGTAGTATCTCATTGCCTATATGGGAAAAAAATGAAGGCTAACATAAGAATTCACAACTGGAAAACATTGAATCACACTCTTCTTTCACAATCAGCTTCAAAATAGTGCATCTTTCATTAGATTTTGATAACCATCTACCTATACAGGTAAAAAGAAGCATGTGGACGTCCAATTCTACACGGAAGTAGGTGAAATAACTACAGATTTGGGTAAACACCAGCACATGCATGACAGAGACGATTTGGCGGCGGAACAGAGCGAACGAGAACTGCGACACAAACTTAAAGTAGCGTTCAAGAGCTTCTGCGAGCGAGTGGAGAATATGACCAAACAGGAGGTGGAGTTTGATACACCATTCAGGTAATGTAAATCTAAGTGATTTTTCCATCTATATAGATAAAAATCAATTGCTGTTCGTTAGTCTCACTAAAACTCGAGAACGGCTGAACGGATTTATCTTATCTTGGTCTTGAAATGTTCGTGGAGGTTTAGGGAAGGTTTAAAAGGGGAGAAAATATGGAAAAATTGCGAGGAAGATAGTTAAAACAGCAATATAATTTTCTCAAATAAACTAGTCTATCTTCTTTCCTGTGAAACATTAGATGTTCGTCCCTTTTGGTACTGTAGACTTGGGTGTGTCATTTCTTCCAAATTATTTTAACCCGTACGAAGTACTGGGAGTCAACTAGTATACAACAAAATTACTATTCAAGCACATCCCTTAAAGAATTAAGAACTTATTTTGAAAATATTTATGAAATATTCATTGATCTACGACTCAGATTGTTATTGCTACAAGGTCAAAGTTCTTTCAGTCAAATTTAAGTGACCTGTTAATGTAAGATTACTTGTTAATGACTTCTTACCCAAATGGATTTTCACGAGCTGTCGCATTTTGTTGTACATCCTGAATAAAGTCTGTACTGTGCATTGGTTGGATAAAACGTACTTATCAATACTCCCCAGCAAAGAGAAGCGAGGTTATTACCCCTACTATATTGTAAATCAAGACATATTTTGCAGAGATCATAGCATAATGACCCGTGTGGAGAAACACGGAGAGGTCAATTTCCCTGGCACGCCGGTCTGCAGCACAGTATTTAGTTATATTATAATTCAAGACCTATGTCGAAAACATCATAACATAATGACCCATATTCTCCACACGGAGAGCTCGGTTTCCCTGGCACGCCGTTCTGCAGCACAGTACTTAGTTATATTATAATTCAAGACCTATGTCGAAAGTATCATAACGTAATGACCCTTATTCTCCATACGGAGAGCTCGGTTTCCTTGGCACGCCGTTCTGCAGCACAATACTTAGTTATATTATAATAGGCTAGTTGACCCTTTTTGGAAAAAGGTTTTAAATGGTTAATAAATGTTATAGTAGACCGAAAAAAATGTATTATATTTTTTTGAGACCTAGAAAGCTACAAACCTATAATTTTAAAATAGACTTTTCATGGACATACAAAAACGCTATCGGCCATTTTAGTCTATAGATTATCTATGCTATGACGTTAACTGCAGTAAACAAAAACTCGTAAACACGTAGAAAATAACTTATTTGAGTTTATAATAAAAAAAAACATGATTTCTAATAAATACCACGAAAAATAAAGTAATTATCATTATTGTATTCCACGAGAATATAAAAACACATCTTTTAAGACTCCAGGAAAGTTGTGGATTAAAGTGCCGAAAGAAATTTAACCTACGCAACTTTATTACACTTATTCATATGTTGTATCAGTTTTATGTTTATTGCTACATTGTAATACTAAATACACTGTACTTACATAGATGCCTTGTCGTTTCTCTGCTCCGCAGAGCAGAAATCTGGATTTAGTGCAATAAATTCACCAACCATCAATGCGTCAATTCTTGGCAAATTTGTGCTTTCTGTTTTCACAAAGCCGGCATCCATAATTAGTTTTTTCAAAAAAAAACAATAAACGGAAACTTTTCTAAAGTTAAAAGATAAATTTAGTCAGACGAAAGAATTCACCCACAGTAACACGCGAATGACATTTAGTTGTTTACCATAAGAGACGTCACAATCATGGCGGATGTGGCGAACAGCGTTTTTAGTGTTTAAAAAATATAGACTGAAAAATATTTTTTAAAATTAATATTCTACAGCAATCTTCTGCTTTTATGAAGTGAAATCAATATATTTAGGTTCCTTAGACCAAATACTTTAAGAAATAAACATTTATTTAATACAATTCGACATGAGTCAACTAGCCTATTCAAAACCTATCTTGAAATTATTTTAGCATAATGAACCTTATTCCCCACACAGAGAGCTCGGTTTCCCCGGCGCGCCGTTCCGCAGCACAGTACTCTTACAACCCACTTCAGGCGCGTTAGTCAACCTCACAGAATGGCCGCCATTCGTCATCGCCCTAGAAGACGTCGAATTAGTACATTTTGAAAGAGTACAGTTCCACCTGAAGAACTTCGATATGGTCTTCGTGTTTAAAGATTACGCGAAGAAGGTTGCTATGGTGAATGCTGTGCCCATGAATATGTTGGATCACGTGAAGGAGTGGCTCAAGTAAGTATTCTAAAATTTCTTTAGAAATTCGGTTATGTGTATTTAAATTTTTGTTTCGTGTCGGCACTTGGCTATTCGTATTTGCTATTTGAAAACTTGACAACAGTCTGTCCTTATGTTTTATAAAAAATGAAAAGGAGAGATTGTTGTCAAGTTTACAATAGCAAACACGAATAGCCAAGTGAAGTGCCACATTTAACTTTTTGAGTTACTATTGATGATTCTTCAATAACTCCCACCTTACTTACAAGCAACTCAAATTGAACCAGCTTTCGCTCGCGATTTCGTCCGGCGTTAAAGTTAGTTTGAGAATCCCATAGAAATCTAACATTTTCTGGTATAAAATGTCTGTCCCAATTTAGGTAATAAACTATATGTGTGCAAAATTTCATCAATGTTACTGACATTGTCAATGTCAGTACCCTTAGCCCGAAGCAATATCGAATTGTTACGTTTGAAGAGTCGGAATCGTCATTAAAGAAATTTTGTAAACTTGAATACTAGCGCCTCAATGGACGCAAACTGTAAGATTCTCTTCTTACGATTTTTAATTCTCGTTACATCCGTTGAGATCGAATTCAACTATTCGTATTCGATAATAGTTCTTGCACAGGGTACTATTTTTGTGTGACTGAGTAAAAAACTTTCAGTTTCAAAATATAAGTAAGGGTACATTAACCCCCTAATATTTGTTTGATCACAGCTCGTGTGACATTCGCTACTCAGAGGGTATCCAATCTCTCAACTGGGGCAAGGTTATGAAGACTATCACTGATGACATCGAAGGCTTCTTTGACAATGGAGGCTGGTCCTTCTTAGACCCGGAGTCTGAAGAAGAGAATGCTGCACAGGTTCGTAATTATTATATTTTTCTATTATGGATTGTAGATTTTATATAATTTTGGTTACTTGTTGCTGTTTGTGTGTATGGATATAAAGATACCTTTATTGTATATCCAACAGTGGATTGGTTTCTTGTGATATTATAGAGGACCTTTTACACTTTAGTTTAAAAGGACCATTGGGGGTAAACCAGAAGAAGTGGAAAGGGACTTGGCTTTCTTATTACCTTGTCTGGGGGAGTTCGGTAAATTCTACCAAATGCGAGTTCTTTTCCTGTAGTTCGGTGTCATCTCCATCCTTCCCGTCTTTCACTTCTTTGCTTCCGGACCTCAAGGAGTTCAATAAAGATTCGTTAAATTTGCTTGGTGCTCCTGTTTTTCCATCTGCAGTTCCGGAGGCCATGAAAACTCGTAGGGATGTTCTCTTGTTGGCCAGCGAGCGTCTAAAGGCCATTGCTCCTCACGTTGCTCTGGTCCTCTTGCAGAAGTGTTTTGCCATCCCAAAAATAACATACCTAACTAAAAAATGTCTCCTTGAGTGGCAACCATTGGAAACAGGCATCTTTGCCAATCCGATACGGGGGTAACGGGATGCGTTCTGTTGGGGATGTGAGTCGGCCGGATTTCTTGGGGTCATGGGGGTTCGGGCCTTGTCGCTAATATTCTGTCTTATGAATGGCGAGCGTCGATCTGGTGAGGATTTTGGCGGTGTCGCAGCCTGAGTCCAGGGCGTGGCACACGCACCTTCGCCTCATATGGACATTTTACTTGACGGTGACTCCTTGCGGGTGGCGGTCGCCCTCCGCTTGGGCTGCGATGTATGTCAACATTGTCAACCACATGTATGCATGGTACCCATGGTGGGGGCCGATGGCCATCACGCATTGAGCTACCGTCGATGTACAGGCAGACACCCACGTCACCATGCTCTCAACGACATAGTGTTGAGAGCTCTTAGGTCGGCCGGCGTTCCTTCCGTCCTCGAACCACCAAGTCACAGCCGCACAGACGGAAAATGACCTGATGGTCTAACATTGGTACCGTGGGAGAAGGGACGATGTTTGGTGTGGCACGCGACGTGTGTCACCACTTTCGCCGCTACCCTCATCGGCCGCACGACACGCACGGCTGGGGCGGCGACTGAGTATCAGGCGGCTGCGAAGCGCTTAAAATATTCCTCGTTGGGGCAAGGATACATTTTTGTGCCTTTGGCGGCGGAAACGGCGGGTTGTTGGAGCGCAGAAGCCAAGCAATTTGTGTGGGACCTGGGCAGCCGACTCAGGCAAAAAACTGATGACCCTCGCTCCGGGTCGTTTCTGGCAAAAAGAAGTCTATTGCCATCCAGCGTGGCAATGCTGCAAGCATAATGGGCAATTTTGCGCCAGAAACGATACGGGGTAATATTTGACGATGGTATGCTATTTACATTTTGTATGAATGGAATTGTATTTTACCAAATAGGTAATTTTGTTTGTACATAATGTTGATTTTAGCTCAATTTATTGTTATTTTAAATCCAATAATTACTTTATAATAATGCACATTTTATTAGAAAAAAAAAGATTTAAAAGGTAAATATTCGAAATAAAATTTTGCTAGAAAAAATCCATTTGGTCACAGTGTCAGATCAAGTCAAGTAGAATTTAAACCCGGGCCTTCCGCTATTCGGGCGGATGTACTAACCAAAACTGAAAACCAAATCACTCTTTAACGCTTAAAATTATAAAAAAATAATAGTCCCGTTTGCTGCCTAGACCGCATAGAATTCTTTGTACGAAAATTTTCTTTATATTTAAACATCAGCAGTTTTGCTTCGAAAATAAATTAAACAACATTTGCTATTTCGTCTTTCAAATGTTTAATACTTGTACATTACATTGTGGGATACTTACAATGCGAAGAGATGGCGCTGCCTAGTAGCCTAAGAAATACTACAAGACATTCGACACGGCCATTAAGGTCGCGGTAGCATAATAGGGAATAATAATGTGCGCAAAATAGCGCGCGTTTAAACTGCCCGTGCTATTTATAAAATTTTTTTAGACAGTTTATATTTTTCGACGTTGATTTGTTTATACTATACTAGCTGTGCCCCGCGGTTTATTAGGGATATTTTCCAACGTAGCCTATGTGTTAATCCAGGGTGTCATCTAACTTCATACCAAATTTTATTAAAATCGCTCCAGCCGTTTAGACGTGAAGTAGTAACAAACATACACACTCACACACTTTTGCTTTTATAATATTATTATGATTATTATGATAAAGGGGATGTAAATAACTAAATAAAATATAAAAAAAATAACATCCATATTCTCTATTATTGGTCAGTGCATCTGTCCGGATAGCGGAGGGTACGGGTTCCAGTCCTGTCTGCTGCCTGGACCGCATCGAATTATATCTAGTAAAAAAAAGATTTTATTTAGACTGAAAAATGGAATTCAATCAAATTGTTTACAGGAGGAAGATTCGGAAGAAGAAGATGACGCGTACGAACCGACGGACGCGGAGTCGGAAGAGGAATCGGAGGACGATTCTGAGTACGATTCCGAAGCCTCCGACGAATCCGATGTATCCGGTGACAGCGAAGGTAAGCGATCTTATCACTTACAGTATAACGCCGATAATCCGAACGCCAATTATCCGAATCGGTCCTAAACGTAATATAAAAAATTTAAACCAAGTTATTTTTGTTTTGTTGTAACAAGTTGGAACTCGCTGGAGTCCAGATATATTTCAACTGTTATGGTTGAAAGCTAGAGGCAAGACACTATATGTTTTGCGTCGCGCGTTTTTTTTGCTACTATGCTAAACTTAATAAAGTTTATTCTATGTATTGTTTTAAACTTTCAAAGCTCTTTTAATTTTCAAAACTAAAGACTAGAAAATCGCTCAGAAACTTACACTTTTTCAGGATAAAAAGTATCCTATGTCTTAATCCAGGTTATAAACTATATGTGTACCAAAGGACATTGTTCTGCGTCCATACATTGTTAGCCTAAGAACCAACAATCATGAAATATTATTTTCTAGGTTCAAAATCGTAAGTTAATTACTGTAAAAACAAAGATTATTGACGGACACTTCTGAGAACTTAAATTATTAGGAAAACTAAAATTTTTTTGAGGTTATGTTTAATATTCAATGAAACATAGGTTAACCTATGAATTTAGTATAAACTCAGTATGAAGTGAATTAATATTACAACTAATTCATTTTATTCGGTGCGATTTTAAAGAATAACTATTAGGAAAAACTTGGCTAGGTAGGAATCGTGAATAAAATCTGTAGCTTTGCTTCTTATTTATTGACTATTTTTCACATAATTGTATCATATTGTTTATTGTATTTATTTGTATATCACTTGTAGCTATATTGTGTAAATATGCAGCGTCAATGTGGATCAAGTGTTCTTGAATAATTTGGCAGTATGATCCTCTCAGGATGTTGTGGCACAGGTTCACTAGCACTTGGTAATAAGGGCTCTGCTCTTTGGTAACATCGATGGCATATTAAATATCCGAAATAGTTAAATTAAAGGAAAAACAATCGCATATAAACACACACAACAGGTAATCCGAAACGAGAATGCACTTTCCGGTTTATTAATACTCTTTGGAATGCACGAAACACGAATGCCACAGATTACTACGAATGCAAACTGCATGCACCACAACCACAGAGTAACAAGTTTTATGCCGGCCCTACACTTGACAACAGTTTGTCCTTGTCATGCTTAATAAGGAATGAAAAGGACAGACTGATGTCATGTTTTAAAATAGCAAATACGAATAGCCAAGTGAAGTGCTGGCATTAGGAAGAAAGAGTGTTTTGTTTGCAGCGCTGCCATAGATAATACACATAAAATGGTATTTATTGTCTCAGATTATTTTTTAACTTTTTAATTTAGCTTACTTAACTGGAAGTGTCCGCCACAATCTAAATACTGATAATTATCGCAAAAAATATACTAAGAATGATCATAAATGCCAAATTGGTGTTGGTTCTTAGGCCAATTTTAACATTGTCCTTTCATCCAAATCTGTTCAGTACTTTTTGTGTGATTGAGTAACAAACATACAAACTTTCACATATTTTATAATAGTAGGATATCCGTGTTCTAGCTTTCGCTCCGTCTTACTTACGGCCAGTTTCAATAAATCAACCTCCAGTAAAGTAAGGATAGTAAGGTTCCGTTTCTTAGCAACATCTATTATTGTAGTTTTAATACTAAAAATATCTAGGCAACAAAGCTGAATAACAACTGTTGCTAAGGCATCGGAACCAAATTATCCTTACATTTTGGAAGAGGTTAATTAATGAAACTGGCCGTTAGCAAATAACGTATATTCATGCACTAGCGGCCGCCCGCGACTTCGTACGCGTGGAGTTAGTTAGAAATAAAGGTTCACTGCTCGTTCCCCGTAGGTGATAGCGTGATAATATGTAGCCTATATGTTGACAAATTTGGAGTAAATCCATGCAGTACTTTTTGAGTTTATCCTGGACATAAATACAAACAGACAAAAATTGTAAAAACTATATTTTTGGCTTTGGTATCGATAGTAGATTAGAGTATTCTTTTAAAAAAATATTCAATGTACAGTTTTGACTTTTCTTCCATTTTATTATATGTATAGATTAAACTCTTATCCACAGGAGAGGAAGACGAAGAATCAGGCAAAGATTGGTCAGATCTAGAGCGGGAAGCCGCCGAGGAAGACAAGAAGGAACGCAATTACGATCGCGAAGACTTCGACCGCAAACGCAAGGGCGGACGGGATCCGAACCGCGGTCGATACGATGAAGACGAGAACAGATCTAAAAAGGGGAAACATGACAAACCTGCCCATAAAGGTTCCCATAAGAGTTCGCACAAGAGCCCACATAAAAGCCCTTCCAAGCATGCACACTCCAGGTATGTTGAAATATCATTTTTCTTAAAGATATTGCCAGGAATAATGAAGAAAAATCTAAGAAGGGGAAACACGACAAACCTGTCCATAAGGGGTCCTCACACAAAGCCACTCCAGGTAAGTTTATTATCTTGGTATCTTAAGCTTTGCGGCATGATGAAGAATAGGAAAGGAAAAAGGGAAAACACGAAAAACGCGCCCATAAAGTCACAAGAATCCATTCAAGCATACACACTCCAGGTAAGTTGAACTATCATTCTTCTTAAAGATATTGCCAGGGATAATGAACAAAAGATCCAAGAAGGGGAAACACGACAAACCCGCCCATAAGAGCTCACACAAGAGCCCTTCCGAGCATATGCTCTCCAGGTAAGTGTATTGTCCCCAGTGCAGGATAGACAAAGAAGGGCAGAAGGGAAAACACATAAAACCCGCCAAGAATCCCTTGAAGCATACAGCCTCCGAACTACATTCCTTGTTAAAGATATTGCCAGGGTTAAAAACACAGATCCAAGAAGGGGAAACACGACACACCTGTCCATAAGGGGTCCCATAAGAGCTCTTCCAAGCATACACACTCCAGGAAAGTTTATTGGCCAAAGTGCAGGATAATCTTAGGCATGATGAAGGCTAGGAAGGGGAGACGGAAAAACGCGATAAACCCGTCCATTAAGTGTCCCACAAGAACCCCTCCAAGCATACAAAGTCGTGGTAAGTTGAATTATTATTCTTATAAAGATATTGCCAGGGATAATGAACACCAATCCCAGAAGGGAAAACATGACTTCTAACATAATACGCCCTTCCAAGGATGCGCACTCCAGGTAAGTTGAGCTATCGTCATCTTATCATTGTTCTCAATGCAGGAAGATCTCAGACCTTCCTAAATTCTATCGATATATATATAGAGAGAAAAAAAACGTCCTTATAGAGAGATCACACAATAGGGTTATGCAACAAAACTTACCAACAATTCTGATGACGTCTGTCTGTTGGTTAGACCATCTCTATTTAAAATTCATTAAAATTCTATCGATATTTTTTAAAGCCCCCACCAATTGTTTTCATAAATCGTAAATTTTTCTCGGCTATGATTTTGATTATTCATACATTCGCCTAAAACATACCTATGTATTTCGAATACCTACCTAGGTTGTAATGTGATTGTTCCAGTCCGTCTAAGAGTCGCGACAAGCATAAGTCGTCTCACGGCAGCGATAGACACAGCAAATCCAACGGAGATCACAAGAAGCACGCCGATAAATCGCACAAACGGTCGCGCGACGACAGTCGCGACCACGACCGCTCGCCCAAGAAAGCTAAGTAAGTACGATGGTCCAATTGTGAAGTAAGACGTAACTATTGACGACCTCCGTGGTCGAGTGGTTTGCACGCCAGGTTTCATGGTGTCGCCGACTCAACAGGTCCCGGGTTCGAATCCCGGTGGGGGCAGATGTTTGTGTGATGAATACGAGCATGTACTGCTCCAGTCATGGATGTTTAATATGTATTTCTATATATATGTACTGTATATGTATTCTATCCGTTACACAAGTCTTACAGTACTTACTTTGGGGCTAGGCTAATTGGTATGTGTGTTGGAAGTATTTATATTTATCTCACGCTTATCTGCCCAGTATACCCTTAGCAAGAACCAATATAGAATTCAAATAGTTGAATTCGTTTTGATACGCGTCAAATGTCAAGAAGTTTTGTATGGAAATTTGAACAGCGCCACAAAGGACGTAACGAGAATTAAAAATTTCCATACAAAACTTCTTGTCATTCGACGCGTATCGAGATCGAGAGCTCGATGGCGCAACTGGTTAGCGCGTTCGGCTGCGATCGTTGAAGTTGAGCAACTTTCGCAGTGGTCGGTCATTGGATGTGTGACCAAAAATTTACTATCTCGAGCTCCTCCGTGCTTCGGAAGGCACGTTAAGCTGCTGGTATCGGCGGCATCAGTCGTTAGCACCTACCACTTCCGCACTGGGCCCGTGTGGTGGGTCATGGCCCAATCACCCTATTCCATTCATCAGGAAGGCCTGTGCCCAGCAGTGGGGACATTAATAGGCTGGTGATGATGATTAAGCACAGTTTCACTGTGTAGTAAAACTGTATGATTTTCTTCACAATTCGAAGCGATCGTGCAGCTGATAGATCCCTTTTTATTAAAGTTCTTCTCTCTAACTAACTTTAAATGGTATAATTTAAGAATGCTTTATTTAATTGTTTGTTCTCTATAATTTAGGTAAGTTTTCTTACTGCGAACTATACAATGTCAATTTAGAGCTTTGTTTTGTTTTTCATATCATTATAATGTCTTTGCGTCCAGTGTAATAGTTTTTCATATCATTATAATATCTTTGCGTCCAGTGTAATATAATATTGAAGAACCAAGTGTCTTTTAACACTTAAATACTGTTTTTTGATCTTCATGTAAAAGTTGAAATGGCATATATAATGGCATGGCATATTAAAGTCTGATTCATTACACACATATGCAGATTATTAATACTTGCTCATTAACGTTTGCTCAACGTTTTTCGATTTTTGTTTCAGGAAATAAGCTGTTTGTGATAAGGAAATGTTTGAGAATAACGGGTTTAACTGACCTCACAGGTCCGCGAATCAATCTCTTTAATTTTACATCCACTGTCCGTCTCCATAATGTTCAAAATCTGGTTGCCTGAATGTGTATGTATGTAATTGTAGATTTATTAATAATTCCAGCGATAATTGTAATTTAAATTATAGCAAACACAAATAAATGTAAGGATTTATTATTAAGATGTTTCATTTATTCTTGCGTCATACCTAATCATAAATAACAGGAACATAAAGTTCAACAACTAAATTACAAAGCAATACTCAACTGATCAAAAAGCTTTACAACCACAGAACAGAGATAAAAACAAATTACTCTTAATATTTAGAAAGATAGCTTTAAGGAATGCTTTAATTAACTAAACAATTTATTTAAGACCAAACTAATAAAAATCTTTTCTGCAAATTTGTAGTCTCTGTTCTGTGATCACAACGTAATTGATGGATATAATCACATTGTACATTATTTACAAAAAAAAAAAATACAAATTATCTACATAAATTAATTAATATAAATTATCTACATTTTAGTAGAATTGATTAGTTCAATTTGCAGGTAGTTCTATTTCAGACTCTTGCGCAGCGACGACGGGTCCCCTTGGCAAAACTGTTATTCTCTTGGAATCGGGCAATTTGCTAATGTCCTGTGCCTTCGATAAATCTTTCTGTTCTTGAGTGTCGCTCGAACTCCAATACTTCTTATTAACTAGCATAAGTAACATCAATGCTGGCAAGTGTACCAGAGAGAACCTAAATAATTTTCTAGAACTGGCGCTGTCTGATTTTTGGTAAAATTGCCAAGCTGAAAATATAAAAAAAAATTATACACGGCATACACTAATTAAATTTTTGTAGTACAGAATTTAAACTATATACAACATACCTAAGTACATAAAATATATATTCAATGGTAGCGATTCTAGAGCAAACCACATATTAGTGACTTCAAGGTATGATGATGCAAGACATACACCAGTGACTATACCAGTGTGCCGTAGAGCAACTCTTCTGCATAAAGCTGAAACAAAGTATACTTTTCTCATTGAATCGGCAAATAGTGTTGTTTTTATTGTCAAATAAATCATAACCATTATTATTAAGGTCTGTACAAATGGCCGCAGGTAAAGTTTTCCAAAATTCAAAATTCTCCAGTGAGGATCATTACTAGGTCAGCAAATCAATTTAATATCAACAGTACAATGATCTAATAATTTTTTTAATTAATATAATTTTTAATCACCGAAATCGGTTCATTGTTGCGATTGAATAACTAATTTTATGGTAGCCAATATTCACCGGCGCCAGCTCGATCGTGGTTCACTCCGGTCGAACTTACAATTAGGTTTACAAAACTGGCTCACAAACAAGACATTTTAAGAACTACTTAAAGCTTTGATGTTTTTGGCTACCCACATTCTACATTTGTTAAACAGTCGAAAACGTGAGAAATTTGCAATTTTTGGAGGTTAAATGCTCATTATGGATCAATAGAAAAACTAACCAGGGTCTGTAACTGCCATCATCCGATACCCGGCGCGCGAATAGTCCGGCCTTAGATTCCACGAGAGCGCGTTGAAGTGCGGGAACTGCCACGAGTAGAGCACTAAGCCCAGGACCAGGGCACCGGCGTCCAGGGTGCCCGCGCAGCCCGCCCATCCCATCAGGGGTGGTATTGCACCCACTGGAAACGAGAAACCTGTTAATTCCTATATTTTTTGCATGTTTGTGAGTATTTTTACTGTTGCTCCTAAAGTGGTGCCATATTCACCAATACACAATCTGATGATAAGATACTGGAGAAATCAAAGAAACTCTCTCAATAATAAGTATTACATCAATTGCGAAATAATTACTTTAATTTTCTTGGAGGCAATTTATATTGCTCAAACTCACAGCGAAGATAATCAAGATAGATATTATGATACATATATTCAACAAAAACAATAATTAATAATACTGAAACAGACAATCATCAGTTGTCTGCTCTCAACTACCCACCTGCTTTTTTTATAATAATAATAATGTAGGTTAGAGAGCTAACAGTGCGCAGGTGCTATTCATCTAAACACCCTGGGGTGTAGGAAATTATAAAATCACTCAAAAGGTTTGCTTACCAACAGAGCCCAGCCATGTGTTAAGTATGGACATTCTCTTCATTGGAGTGTAGACTGAAGTATAAAGGATGAGGTTACCAGCACCTAAAGCAGCAGTAAGTGGGTTCACACCGAAGTAGAGCAGGCCCAGACCGGTGGCACTAGTTGCAGCTGCAAAGCCTATAGCATGGACAGGTCTGGAATATAATGAATTAAAAAAGATATTTATCTTGTCTTTTCCATAACAGCTTTCAGTGACAAAAGTTATTTTTATTCAAAGAATTTTTAAATGACCAGTTGGCACCACTGCGACTTGAGGTCTTTAGTATAGTTATTGGAGCAAATTAATAGGAAAAGTATTTAAATTAAGATCCATAGACTGAAGAATTTGCAATTTGTTGAATGATTAGTTCCCATCATTCCAGAAACCCCTTATTACTATTAAGGACTTACTCAAGCAAGCCTTTGACAAGCACGCGATTCTTAGTTCTGGACATTTGGGCGTCAAATGGAACCTCATGATACTGATTGATGGAGTTGGCAGCAGCGGATACAAGGCCTGTGCCAGCTGCGCAGAGCATGAATGTAGATAATTCAAATGGAGCTGGTGCCAAAGCATAGCCTGCCATTGATGTCATTACTACTAGAGCTGAAAAAACCAACAACAAAAATAAATAACAGAAAATATATTTTCCATATTTTTGACTGTTTATAAATGTGTGTAAACACACACAATAAACACTAGTGTGTGTGAATACACAAACATATTTCCTGTTTTACTTACAGGTCAGTCTAAACTTAGATAACATCATACAGTATTGTCCTATATTGTTTTTCCTGTCTAATGATGGTGTTTCTTTCCATATCCTTGTGTCTTGCTTGACATTTTTGGCTTTTTTCACAATGGGTGTTACTTGTAGGTGTGTTGTAAGAGTTTTGTTGTTCCAACATTGTGAAGTTGTTATTTTTGCAATATGTTGGGCAAATGTACTATTCTGTAATAAACGGAAAATAAGATAATAAATGATATAGCAAAACGTAACATAGGTAACTGATAAGATAATGGTAAAAAATTGATTACCCCAATTTTTAGAAGTACTGATTTCGTTGAAAGCCCTGAAGTTCCATGTTTCAGGCAAGCAGTGCAATGCAGTACCTTGATGTAAGACATTCTTGCTCAAATGATAATCATTTAAGACAGCATCTTAAAGCTGAAAAAAATAAAGCTCTTTATTGACAAGTTATCAAACCATTATTTTGTAAATATTTATAAGAAAAAATTACGAAATGCGTGGTGTTTCTTTTTTAATATTATATTAATAAATACCCACGGCAATCACTAACTTGCGTAGACAACACCTAAATAATAGTTAAGACCTTAAAACAGGTAGATAGGAGTTACATAAGTTATTGTTTTGATGCCACCATAGAAACTTAAATCTTTGTATTTCTGTGGATTTTGCTCGTCAAATCTAAAAAATATATAGTAACCACTACCTTAAGAAATTTAATTTCAAATATATATTTAGGTTTAACTATCACTGTTAGAAAACTTGGGATAATAAATAATCCCACTCATAATGTGTTTGAGGTTATTTGTAACCTCTTGGAAAATGAAGGACACAGATGTCATTCATTACTCATTAGACGTCACTATATGAAGTGTTGTTGACATTTTCATTTCAGGCCTTGGATATTAAAGCCTTAATTGAATATTCAATTGAATAGATTTCCCTATACACGACACAGACTGTAGACAAATATATTTCCGGCTTAAGTAATGTCGCTTGCTCAGTTAATTTTCTACTTGGCAATATTACATCTGTAAGTGTCATAGACATCTTTTGTCAATGGTTAGTGTTGTATGGTAATTATCTTTCCCAGAATTGTAGGTAATCCAAGCCGTAGCGTTGAGTAGTCTAGCCTCTATTATGAGTATTATGAGTATTATGACATGCTATAGTAGCGTAATTATAAGAAAAATCAATCAAAAATTGGTACAATACTTTCATTACTGTTTCGTGAACTGATTGACTGGACTGATTGACATGTTGCAGTGATTAAGTTGACCTTAATAAAATGCTACAAACTAAAAATATGACGTTACTTATGGCGTGACTATCAAGTTAACGTACACCAGGTCATTACTATAAGAACGGCTTAATGTTAAGCAACCGAATCCGAAAACCTTTTCAAGTTTAAAACATTATCATTATGTCATTATCATTATGAACTGTTATCATACAAATAATATTGTAATTATAGTTATCTTATTCACCACATAACTTGGCATATGTATTGAGTACTGTATTGGTATTGAAATGTAAAAAATATCATTACGGTAGCTGCGTAAGTGATTGCTGATCTCCAGAAAAAAATATTAATCAGCTACTTCTTAGAATATTAGTTAAAATTCCAAAAATACCTTGATGAAACCCGCCTTTGATTATAATTATTTTGAATTTTCACGTCACTATGGTCATATGTCAAAACAACCATCATAGCGTGCTGCGACTATAATGGCATAAGTAGCAATCTCGAGTGTGACCTGATGTATGTTAGTATGAAATCATATTTTCACATTTTGATTACATGACAGGGGAAGGCATAGAGTAACTACCCTACTTATTTGACAAAGGATAAGGGTAGCTTCAAAATTGAATATGGTATCACAGTTTTTTTGTTTTTATTTTGATTCGATTGATATTGGAACACGGAAGTGGTTTCGTGTGTTGACGGTCGCATTGCGAAACATGTCCAATTGCTTTTTTATATCTCTATAAAAATGACAAAATTATGGTGAACAATTTGTCGGCTCCTTAGCAAGGAAAGCAGAAACTGAAGATGGCCTCGAGAGGCGACAAAGGGAATGGCAATGGCGAAGAGCAGATTGTTGAGGTAAATCGATGTGGCCTACATTTCATTGACAGTTGGGTAAACTTGACCTAACTGTTGAATGAGCTTAATGGGATAATGCTTACAGACTTTAGCTGAGGTGTTCCGCTGCTTCATTTGTATGGAGAAGCTGGTGGATGCACACCTATGTCCTCACTGCTCGAAGCTGTGCTGCTACGCTTGTGTGCGGCGATGGCTGACGGAGCAGAGATCTCAATGCCCTCACTGTCGAGCTGCCCTACATCTTCATGAATTGGTCAACTGTCGCTGGGTTGAGGAAGTCACCCAACAAATAGAAACTATGCAACAGACCAACTCAGCCACTCAACGAGAAAGTTTTAGGGATAGGTATTGACGAAGTTTTCTTTATAGTCATAAGTTTATCTATCTTATTATTTATTTTATGGTCAAAAATATGAAACAAATAAATAAAAAGAAAGTTGATTACATAAATATATATGAAATACTGTTCATTTTGACAGTGGAAAAGCAAAATTGCTAACGTGCCACTTTGGTTCTGCTTTAAAATTAACTTTAGATAAATACTGAAATTAAGTTAATTTTTAAGCAGCACTAAAGTGGTGTGTTAACAATTTAGCTTTTCTACTGTCGATATATATTTTTGTAATAGTCTTAAATGTGAGTTGCACCAACTTACTTTAACTGTCATGTTAAAGTCATAGTAAAATTTGACAATAAATTTAACCAGCTCTGGTGCAACCCACAATATTACCTTGTAAATATCATGCTCATCAGTAGGTTTTAACTGATTGCTATACAAATTAGTATTTCTTATACTCACACCAATCAGTCTAATCCCAAAGTAAGTTCTGAAAATTTTATGCTATAGAAACACAAAAATGCATCCATAATTAAAAATAAACAGTCATAATTCTGGTTCAACTGCTTATAGTAATCAAACAAACACTTGCTCCTACTGGGATTCAAACCCAGGACCATGGTGTAGATTGTAGGTGATGCCTTCAAATATGCCTGCTTTACTACACAGGTCATAATTAAATTAACTGGAATTTGGTTTCTATTGCTTATAATTAGGTCGATCCTTAGTAGGTAAGACCTTATCTAAAGGACTGAAATTTAATTTGGATTGGCAGCTTCAATTATATAGACATTCATTGGATAACACTCTGTTACACAATAAAATGTTGAGTTTTATTAACTAGGTCTTATATATAAGATTCCATTTAGAGTGGGGCAAGTGATCTTGTCTATTGTGGAGGAAATAATATTTTTGTTAAATATTTATTAATATTATCAGCTTATTAATACCCCTGATGCTGCGTTGGGTCACAGGCCTTTCCTATTGGTTGTAATAGAGTGAACAGGCCATTCATTCATCTATCATACAGGCCCAATGTGTATTGGTGGGTGCTATCAATTGTAGATACAGCAAGGACCAATGGCTTAACATGTCTTTAGAATAGAGATACAGAGAAGACTTTTTTGAGTTTACCCATTTTATGACAGACCATTACATAAATTGCTTAATTTCCACGATCATATACTAACTACTGCACCATTGAGCCTCTCATATATATAGCTGGTAGTAAAATTTGTAAGTGTTGTTTTGTTTATAAGATATAGCTTAATAATAAACCGAATGAGTTACAGAACTGAAATTTTGGTACTTTATTCTGGAATGCTTGACCAAAGCAGAATATTTAGTTAAAGCATTCATTTAAATTATTTTTCACATGAAAAGGGAACATATTTTTTTTTACCTCAGCATGTGACACTTCATTGTCTAGAACTCGTTAAGTAGGATATAAATATAGTTTTTATTATTATTTTTACATTTTCTTATAACAAAGAAATGGGGGGCTGTCAAAGTTGTCAGTTTTAGACCATTTTTGCTACCTAGCTCAAGTTAAGAATGTGCAATTTTGGTATATGATGTGTTGTTTTTAAACAACAAATAGTGAAAATGTTGATTCATAATTCACTTTGTTAGTTTATGATGAAATCAAACAAATGATTTTATGGAACCTTAATAGAGCAAGACTAGTCATTACGAAATAGATAAGATAGCATTTTATCTATTGTGTAATATTTTTTTTTAACACAAACATTTTTCTACAACCCAGATGTCCAACTCACCAAGAGAAGCTAACAGTCTACTGTTGGACGTGTCGGCGGTGCATCTGCCATCAATGTGCTCTATGGGGCGGCACACACACTGGTCACACATTCAAACCGTTAGAGGAAGTGTATGAGCAACATGTGACGCAGATAAGAGATGAGGTGTCGCAGCTTCGACGCCGGCTCATGGAGCTCATCAGCCTTGTGCAGGATGTGGTGAGAAGTTCACATTCATTTGTCATTCCTCAAATATTATTTTGTCAAAGTTTCCAATTCCTTGATTTCTTGATCTAAATTGCTTTATTAATCTTAAAAAACGGTTTGTAAAAAGACAGATATTATTATGTTTAACTATAACATTTCATAATGTTTCCGAATTTGTATTCAGGAGCGTAACGTGGAATCCGTAAGGGCCGCCAAAGACGAACGAGTGCGTGAGATCAGGAATGCGGTAGAACTGATGATATCCCGACTGGACTCCGCACTGAAAGCTAAGCTACTGACACTGATGGGTCAAAAGAATAGCCTCACCCAGGAGACTGAACAGCTCGAGCATTTGCTGCAAGAAATAGAGCATCAAATGCATGCAAGCACACGGTAAATTCTTTAGGCTCAGCACAAATGAGTCACTGGCCATGTCCGCCGCCTTTGGTACTGAGTGTTTGTTGCTTATTGACAGCTGCGAGTATACTGATTGCCACAAAATGACGTACAGTTTCGCGATTAAATGTTGGTGTGGTGCATCAGTGGTTCATATTGCAGACTTTCATTCAAGGGGACCCAAACTTTCACTACGTTACGTACGACCGCACTAAGGCAATTAGATTTAATACTAGTCAAGGTGACGTATTGTTTTATTGCAATTGCAAAAACAAATCAAGTTTTATCCATCTTAAAAATTAAATAACATCTCTGAGTGCAGCCACTACTAGTCAGTGGGATACTCTGATTTGCGAATGGCATATACTGTGTCGCCAGTGGGATACTCTGATTTGCGAATGGCATATACTGTGTCGCCAGTGGGATACACGGAGTAGCGAGAAGGATACACTGAGTAGGAGAAGGATACGCGAGTAATAGATACTATAAGAGTCGTGGTTTGCCGGACACTCACAGCAAACAAAACATGAAAAATCATTTAAATTATGTGTAACCTACGGGCATTGGTGGTTATGGTCAGTGATTCATTTGCGTGGACTCTCATGGAGCTCAGCATTTACATTTTTCTAATTCAATCTGCGCCGTTTAAATTTTGCCATTATGGCACATAAGGGCTATAATTGCTTGTTTATAAATAAAAAAGTAAGTCAATATAATTTTTATATATGTCGAAAATCCTTGGGATTTTGCGAAAACGCAGATAATTAGACGTTTTTGCGCAATGCTACTTGCATTGCATCAGCAATTTATTATACGACAAACCTTTAGAAACGAACCATGCACTGAAATTATGGTCAAAGCATAGCATTGTATTATTAAGCGTTCTTAATTATATCACCACAACTGTACACAGCCAGGTCATAAGTATTGTCACACAGTAAAAACTTTTCTTTTAGAATGCTGGCCACAAAAAAGTTTCATCATCATCATCAGCCTATTATGTCCCCACTGCTTAAAAAAAGTTTATTGAATTCGAATTTAGAATTCTTCATGAAAATAAAAATGTATACTTTTTAGAATTTTACTCATTTTTAAATATGGAGTGGACGCTTAAAGGAGACCATGTTGCAGTTATTGCGTTGCATCGTTGCGGTTACGCAACAACGCATTTCAAATTTTTGACATACTGAAAATTTTGAATATAACCAAAAGTTTCGTTTATCGTACCATCAAACGATACAATGAAGACTCTAGTGTAGATGACAGGTCAAGAAGTGGTCGCCCTCGGTCTGTTAGGACTCTAGCAGTGATAAAAGCTGTGAAGGCGCGAATTCAAAGAAATCCCAAACGTAATCAGAAACTGTTGGCCCTTTAGATGGGGTTAAGCAGAACCACGGTGAAAAGGGTGTTAAATGAAGACTTAGGGCTTCAGGCATATCGAAGAAAAACAGGACATCGTTTGAATGCTCGTCTAATGGACCTGAGACTGGAGAGATGCCGCGCTTTGTTGAAGCGGTACGCGGGAAAAAAATATCGGGAAATTCTTTTTTCGGATGAAAAAAATTTTACCGTAGAAGAGAGCTACAACAAACAAAATGATAAGGTGTACGCACACAGTTGTGAAGAAGCGAGCAACCGTATTCCGCGTTTCCAACGAGGTCATTTTCCATCCTCGCTCATGGTATGGTTGGGAGTTTCTTATTGGGGCTTAACAGAGGTACATTGTTGTGAGAAAGGTGTAAAAACGAATGCAGTTGTGTATCAAAATACAGTCCCGACGAACCTTGTGGAACCTGTTTCTCATACCATGTTCAATAACAGGCACTGGGTATTCCAACAAGATTCGGCGCCAGCTCATAGAGCGAAGAGCACACAAGACTGGCTGACGGCGCGTGAAATCGACTTCATCCGGCGCGAAGTCCTCCAGTCCAGATTTGAGTCCGTTAGATTACAAGATATGGCAACACTTGGAGGAAAAGGCGTGCTCAAAGCCTCATCCCAATTTGGAGTCGCTCAAAACATCCTTGATTAAGGCAGCCGCCGATATTGACATGGACCTCGTTCGTGCTGCGATAGACGACTGGCCGCGCAGATTGAAGGCCTGTATTCAAAATCACGGAGGTCATTTTGAATAAACTTTATTGTCATAAGAATCTATGTTTTGTTAAGTTCATTTTGGTATATAAATAGTTACATAATGAATAAACTTGTTTCAATTATTTTATAATAAATATGTGACAGAATTTATGACCTGACTAGGTATATTAGTAATAGTTACAAGTTTCCATTCTCATTTCGTTTTCCACTAGTAAAATGTGAATTTAAGAATATTTGATTGACAAAACGGCGTGGTCGTGATTTCTCCATTGCTTTGTTTTTGTAATTGTTTGCGGTGTCTTACAGGTAAATGACCTTAATTTAAGTAAATATGTTGTAGTTAGTATGGGTAGTTATGGGTAGTCATGCTCTCTTAATAGTCTCTTCGGCGCGGTGTCGTGTGAGGCGGGTCGTTACGTTCCCTAAAATATGGTTGAGCGAAGCGATGGTTGGTTCATGCGTCATGCTCGTGAACGCGTGCTGCCAGCGGAGATGAGTCTGCCCTAACTTCCTTAATATTGAAGTTAATGTTTAGTCACACCTAATATAAATAACACTATTTGTATTTATACTGTATGACACAGCAATCGAAATGCAGGTAAACATAATGTATATTTAATCAATATGTAATGAAAGCTGACTTCATGAATCATCTCTGAAGTAATTTTTCAATTTGACGACTCTGTAAATAATAAAACGGGGAGAAAAAAACAGCTCTTGCTGAGTTTCTTGCCGGTTCTTCTCAGTACAAGGTCGTAAGGATGGCGTAGCTTCTAGACATTCATGAGTGCTTAACAGCCTAAACTGAATAAATGATTTTGATTATGATTATTATGTGAACTTGCTTGATAAGGTGTTTTTGTATAAACATAAATTTATTATTTAGACATTCATTTAAATAATACGTTTGTTTTTACAGGTCCGAGCTGATAGCTAAAAGTGGGGACCTCTCCAAGATGATACATCAGGTCAGAAAGAAACCGATGGCCAGTTTTGTGACGGCGCCCGTACCGGCCGATTTCCACAGGCATGTTGGAATTATTGTTGACAGTTTTTGATGAGTAACATCTTTCCTCTCGCTTTCGTGCAATTTGTGGGAGTGATTACGTGAAGTGGGACGGAAGTGTGTAACAGGAAATTTGGGAAGCGCGCGCTATTTGATTTGATTTTAGAACATAATGTTCAAATGGCTTATACCTTTTGTGATATGAAAGAAATACTCTCTAGCAAAGGCCTCTTAAACATAATACCAAACCACACAACTAACTCCTACACTTACGCGGCACGCACACAAACAAAACAAAATAAGTACTTTGAAAAATCAAATACTAGCAAATGAATTCGGCCATCCATTCATTGGGTAAGATAATTTTAAACAGAAATCCCAACCAACCCCATGATTATGTGTTGCTCGCATTTTTTCGCCACAACCACTTGATCGCAGTTCTCGTGGAACCACTTTTTGTGTAGCGCAGTTCGTATTTAATTCGTATATTTCTAATTCATTGATAAAAGCCTAAACTGAATAATGAATTTGAATATAGGTAAATATAAAGGACACTCACACTGCATCGCGGGCATTTCCACTCTCCGTCGGGCACTTCGTCTAGGGGTGGGTTTAGACAGAACCGATGGTACGCCGACGGACACGAGTCGCAGCAGAGAAGCTCGCCGCCGTCCTTACAGATCCTATCACAAACACCACAAGTGATTAATTAAGTGTTGCTGTGATTTTTGATGTGTAACATCTTTCCTCTCGCTTTCGTGCAATTTGTGGGAGTGATTACGTGAAGTGGGACGGAAGTGTGTAACAGGAAGTTTGGGAAGCGCGCGCTATTTGATTTGATTTTAGAACATAATGTTCAAATGGCTTATACCTTTTGTAGTAGGTTTTATTTCTTTTTTACTAATATAAGGTGAGGTTTCAAATGTTACACATCATACGCGACTACTGTAAGGCTCGCTCGTTTTTTTAGTCGTTCCTATATGCGTCGTTTTATGGATGGTCTTTTAAAGAAGACCCACATATTTTCGAAGCAAAAAATGTTATTAAGTTTTAGAGATACTGTAGTAGTCCTTGTCTTTGTTTGATGTTCTGATAATCCACAAAAATGATTTAACAGAAGATTTCGTAGATATACTTTTTAAAAGCACGAACCATTTTTTATCTTTGTAATAAAATATTTGATATGTAAAATATATCAAAATTAACAATTTGAAAGAGTCATTAAAACCACGCTTATTTCGAGAGGTTTACAATGGGATTTCAAAAGCGAAATAACAAGTTTTTAATCTGTGATCTGTAAACAAAATCACTCCATCGAATACTTACTTTGTGTATAGACCCGCCTGCCACATTTCAGTCTTAACACAGAACTCGATTCCATCAGTAACGCTTACGCATTCGTATTTGATTTGTGATTGCCGTCGTCTTCTTATTATAAGAGGCGTACTTATTATCCTACTAGAGCCAGGAAAGAAAGAATCCTTCCAATTTCAAATACCTGCGTGCATTTGTAGTGAAGTCGTGCCGAGCTACGACAGTAGCACGTTTCACGCAGCTGCAGCACGCCGCGGCGCCAGTTTACACTGCGCCGTTGCACGTGAACGTTCTTCTTCCTCTATCTATTACTTTTTGCGCGCCACTCCCGTCGATAAAGAAAAATACACTCCGTGCTTCCGTAGTGAAATCGTGCCGAGCTACGACAGCAGCACGTTCCCTCTGACCAACTTCAAGCAGCTGCAGCACGCCGCCGCGCCAGTGTACTCCACGCCGTTGATCGTTAACGTTGTACCTCCTATGTTTAGTACTATTAGGGCGGCATTTATTAGCCACTCCCGTCGATAAAGAAAAATACGCTCCAATTTCAAATATCCCCGTGCTTCTGTAGTGAAATTGTGCCGACCTACGACAGCAGCACGTTCCCGCTGACCAACTTCACGCAGCTGCAGCACGCCGCGGCGCCAGTGTACTTCGCGTCGTTGCACGTTAACATTGTATCTCCTATATCTATTATTATCAGGGAGGAATTGATTCGCCACTCCCGTCGATAAAGAAAAATACACTCCAATTTCAAATATCTCCGTGCTTCCGTAGTGAAATCGTGCCGAGCTACGACAGCAGCACGTTCCCGCTGACCAACTTCACGCAGCTGCAGCACGCCGCGGCGCCAGTGTACTCCGCGCCGTTGCACGTGAACGGCCTCTGCTGGAGACTGAAGGTGTATCCCGATGGCAACGGGGTCGTTAGAGGCAACTACTTATCAGTGTTTCTGGAACTGAGCGCCGGCCTACCGGAAACGTCTAAGTGAGTAAAACTCTAGTATATATTTTTAGTTTTAACGCACACCAATCATTAAATATAACATGTTTTGAACGGGTTTAAAAATGCGTTTTTTATTAGTTTACATTATTTAGATTTATGTTTCACTGAATTAAAACTATCTTACGACCATAGAATCTGTAAAGGGTCCAAAACATCAACAATAAAAAACGCGCTTAAAACCCATTCCAAAAGTGGTTTTATTTAAGAATACTTTATTAGTTGAATCTCTAAAGTCCCACCTAACCCCCTGGTGCAAGCATAGAAACTAAAACCACTCACTTTTATGCAGTAAGGGCTTTTTACCGTGTTACGTAGATGCGCGTATGAACGTGTCTGCTATTGTTAACTTGTAAAATATATTTGCCTATTAAAAGAGCCATTAATTTTATTAATACTGAGAAGTTACTCTATTTGAGTATATTTTTGATCCGATTATATTCGTATCTGACGATTTTATAAATTCAGTCTGACTTTTATAAAACAAGAAGGATTCCTTAGCATGCAAGCTGACAGAATTACAACTGCATCCGCGTGATAAGGTATTAAACTACTATAACTTTATTTAATGGTTTAGTGGACACAGTAGTGTGATTTCCAATAGAATATTGTTATTGTAATGAGGACCTACCCCCATTGCTTTACACTATAGATTTTATACACAATTATTCACGTTTGGATACACTTTGTGTTTGATTTGTTCATGAAAATTCAACCACTGTTGGTTCCTGAAAAATTCCATGGGGCCATACCTCCATTCATAGAAAGAGATGAAACAAGCTTTTTGACTACATTGGTACATAGACCGCCTTATTACAAAGCGCAGACTAAAGTTAGTCTTGGTTTACCTAATGTTGTCTTCGTTTTAGGAACCAAAAGTGACAACATCACTTTTAGTTCAGGTTTAACTTCAAGTTTTGTAATAAGGCGGAAAAAGTTTTTATACCCTGTACCAGATCGTAGTGCATTATATGTTTTAATTAAAAACGTAACTAATCTGAAAGAATGCAAACCAATATACCTTAATTTAATGCCGACGGCACGGACAGACAGATATTATCATCTAAAAGCTATTGCATGAACTTAAAAATAGTAGAGATATGAGGTAATTATCATGAATGGTTTATCTGTATAAAAATTGTTTGTTCAATCTAAGCCTCAGACAATTGGCTATAAATGAATGGACAGAAATTGTCCCTGTGGGATCTTTTTCAGGAGCAATAATTGAACCAACCATTCTATTTTATAAGAGCTTTGACACCGGGCATACAATCAACTGTTTGACATAGTTAAATAACTTGGCATTTTTTATTATTATTACAAGCACTGCTAAATTAAGGGTAGGCAAGAGGTAAGCAATTACAATCACACGTTTTGTCTTTGAAGTCTATGTTTTACTTTATATAAAGCATGGTAAGCTATTTTATTGATTCTTTTACCCATTATTAATTAAACGGCAATGGTGACAATACGCTTATCAATGTTTTCTGTTGTTCAATAGACGCTTACATAATCATTTAAATTAAAACATACTTATGCGATTTATGTGGAGCTATTTTTTATTCCGGCTAAACTAATAATAGTAGGGGTGCCCAAGCGGAGGATTTTTGTATTTACTCGAGCGTGGAAAAATTATTAATCTGCCTGTTTGCATGGTGTGGGGGGTAGCTGTACGAAGGGGTAGAATATAGAAAAATAAAACGAGTGCGTCAGAGATTGAGAAGGGAGGTTACGTGAAACCTCCTGTAGACCTCCTCCTCCTATTCAAAAGACTATTCACTAAGCTGGTAAACTTAGTTCAGCGGCTTATGCCATACGAAAAATAAGACAACATTCTGATGTAGATGCTGCTAGGACCGTATACTTTAGTTACTTTCATATACTCCCTAGACACCGAATTAACTACACGGAAGCAGCAGAAAAATATCAACTATATATGGCAGATAATATGTTCGACACACATTGACTGCTTTAATACAATCAGACATAAGAGTTGCGCACATATTGCGCGAAACATGAGTCGTTCTTTGCGTGGTTTATTGGGATTGCTCTATCTAGGCGTATAGGTAAATCAAAGACTACAAATAATCTCTCAGAGATTATCATTTAAAAGTTGATCACGTCTGTAAATTAAAAAAAAACTCAAGCTTGAAATTGTAAAAAAATGTGGTTTTGAAATTTGAACTCCTATTTGTAACTGCATAGGTACGAGTATCGCGTAGAGATGCTACACCAGGTGTCTCGGGACCCGTCTAAGAACATAGTGCGGGAGTTCGCTTCCGACTTCGAAGTGGGCGAGTGCTGGGGCTACAACCGGTTCTTCAGGCTTGATCTGCTCGCCAGCGAAGGATACCTCAACCCGGAGACTGATACGTTGATACTGAGGTCATTATATACCCAAAACACCTACATTTCCTATTCTAGATGTCTTATTTCAAGTTGGAGGATGCTGAGGCTACAGCCGGTTTTTCAGGCTAGGTCTGCTCGCCAGCGAAGGATACCACAACCCGGAGACTGTTACGCTGATACTGAGGTGATTATATACTTATAAACGCCCACATTTCCTATCTTAGATGTTTTACTTTAAGTAGGAGCAAGGTAGGGCTACCACCGGTTTTTCAGGCTTGATCTGCTCACCAGCGAATGAGACTTCAACCCGGAGACTGATACTGAGGTCATTATATACCCATAAACATCCACATTTTTCATAGATGTCTTACTTCAAGCTGGAGAGTGCTGGGGCTACAACCGGTTCTTCAGGCTCGATCTTCTCGCCACCGAGGGATACCTCAACACGGAAACTGATACGCCGATACCGAGGTCATTATCTAACCATTAACATCCCCTAATTCCCACTTTAGATGTCTTATTTCGATTATTTTTTTTTGGGCAAATCCCATCCTAGCTTACTGCTACACCTTAAAAGCTTTATGTGTGCAAAATTTCAACGCAATCTTGACGACCTCCGTGGCCGAGTGGTTTGTACGCCGGGTTTCATGTTCTGTCCTGGGTTCGAATCCCGGTGGGGGCAGATGTTTGTGTGATGAATACGAGCATTTGTACTCCAGTCATGGATGTTTATTATGTATTTCTATATAAATATACTTATATATGTACAGTATATGTATTCTATCCGTTACCCTAGCATCCCATAACACAAGCCTTACAGTGCTTACTTTGGGGCTAGGCTAATTGGTGTGAGTGTTGGAAATATTTATTTATTTAATCTGTTCAGTGGTTTGAGCTGTGCGTTGATAGGTCAATCAGTAACGATTACCTTAAATACCTACAGATTAAAAATTAAGATATTTATATAAAGTATTTTGTTATTATAATAGATTTCAAGTGCGCCCGCCTACGTTCTATCAGCGGTGCCGCGACCAGCAGTGGTACATCAATCAGCTCATCACTATGCAGAACCAACACGTCCTGCAGATTAATGATCTCAAAGAGGTAAGATTAAATAACTATAACATCATCATCATCAGCCTATTAAAGTCTCCACTGTTGGGGCACAGGCTTTTCCTATGGATGGAGTAGGTGTTAACGACTGCAGATGTAGCCGGGACCAAAGGCTTATCGTGCCATCCGAAGCACGGAGGAGCTCGAGATAATAAGTTTATGATCACCCATCCAATGATCGACCATTGCGAAAGTTGCTTGACTTCCACGCTCGCAGGCCGAACGCGCTAAACAACTGCCCCATCGAGCTCCTATAACGAATGTATGTTATTCAGTCCCAAACTTCGTGTAGCTGTGGCATTTTTGTTAATAAATAGAGTAAATAACAAAAATAGTGTTCCTAAAATTGTTTTATTTGTAAAGTTTCCTATTGAAAAGAAAAAGAATACTCAGTCGTTACAACCTTTATTATTTTTTATTTGTTATAACGGTTCTTGAAGAAGTTGGTACGTTCGTAAAATGTATAAAACCTGCTTTCTCAGCAAGCATTTTATCTTACTGAGTTTATGAATATTTTTAAGTCCCTGCATGTTTCATGTCCTCCTTCAATGTCTCTTTCAAATTTTTTTGACATTTTTTTTGTTTTTTTATGTTACATCATACAAAAACACATACAACCCTAAATTTTTACCCTTCTACCACCAACCCCTACTTTTTTTATAGCGGTACGAAGTTCGCTGGGACAGCTAGTATAATATAGTTTTCAAGAACCTAACTTGCTAACATTTTTCCGGGATAAAAAGTATCCTATGTCTCAATCCAGGTCAAAATGTTTTTGCGTACTAAATTTCATCTAAATCCATTCACTAGTTTTTGCGTGATTGAGTAACAAAAATAACATACAAACTTTTATGCCTTTGCTGTTTGTCATTTTGATAGCAGGTTGTCCTTGTCATACTCTATATAGAATGAAAAGGAGAGACTGTTGTCACATTTACAAATAGCAAACACGAATAGCCAAGTGAAGTGCCGCGTTTACTTTTATAATGGTTTTATTTTTATACTAGCGGCCGCCCGCGACTTCGCATGGAGTTAGTTAGAAATAAAGGTTCACTGCTCGTTCCCCGTAGGTGATAGCGTGATAATATGTAACCTATATGTTGACCCGACTTCTTAATAATATTCGTGCCAAATTTGAAGTAAATCCATGTAGTACTTTTTGCGTTTATCCCGGACATACAGACAAACAGACAAAAATTCTCAAAACTATATTTTTGGCTTCAGTATCGATTGTAGATCACACCCCAAGTATTCTTTTTAAAAAATATTCAATGTACAGTTTTGACTTTCCTACCATTTTATTATATGTATAGATATTAGTAGGATTATTTGTTCGTTGACAGCGCCTCTCGTTGGAAATGTCGCGCAACTCGATAGCAGCGACTCGCGCCACGTCCAATTCGAGCACGTCGCAGTCCAACGCTGGCGGCGTAGCGGACGCGGACAACCCGCTGCAGAACAATCCCGTCGACGGAAACACCATGAGCGACTCGATCGTCTTCAACAACCAGTGGAAGTTCAACGCGTCCAACATTATCAATAGCCAAAGATTGACTAGTCCAAGTGAGTGAAGTGTGTTCTTTTTTTGGTACAAAATTTTGTTCTCTAGCAAATTAGGTAAAATGAGTATTAAATTTGCTAAAATGAGATATAGCAGTTATTGAGTCTGCTTATTTAAAAGTGTTCTCTACAAATATATTGTTTCATTGTCTCGTATGTTTGTATACTGACAACACGTATTGTATGCGGCATTTAGTTTCTTTTGATAAGTTCTGCTTAACTTGGGACAAAAAAAAAGGTTGTGAGAGACAGAATTGTTTTTTGAAACTATGTCACACTTATTACTGTACCACACTTCTAGAAACGCATACAGTTATTAAAGATTATTTCTTATTATATCTTCTTCTCCCTTAGTCCATAGCTATCCAATGCCGAATGCACGTCTCCGGCAGCGCATGCCATCTAGCTCGGTTTTGTGTTGTTCTCATCCAGAGCTTTCCCGCAATTTTCATGTTATCGTCTGTCCATCGCATCGGTGGTCTGCCTACGTTCCTGTGACCAGTTCCGGGTCTCCACTCCAGTACAATACAGACAGTCCTCGACTTACATCGTTTCGATTTACGTCGTTTCAAGTTACGTCGTACAATGTTTTGGCACTATTCCTCAAGCATACGTCAATTGTTTCGATTTCCGGCATAGGAGAATTCACTATTCCTCAAGCATACTTCAATTGTTTCGATTTCCGGCATAGGAGAATTCACTTGTCGCGAGGTCAATGTCCGTGGGGCCGGCGTTCGTAAGGATGTCTCGACTTACGATTTTTCGATTTACGTCGCATATTTCGAGAATCTAACATGCCGTAAGTACAAGGACTGCCTGTATTTCGCGGTCTACCATTATTTCTGCGACATATGTGGTATATCTCCATTTCCTTTTAATTACGTATATGGCTATGTTAGTGTATTTCATTACATTTAATGGTCACCGTATTTAATAAGACGCGTTTTGTACTAGGTATATTGAATACGGCGATGTTTGCGGAGGACAGCCGCAACAACGACGTATCGTCTCAGGCCGCGGCCGCTTACGCTTACGGCGACTACTCCACGCTGGAGAGGAGAATGCCTGCGCATAATAACGCGTTAGACGCGTATACAAACCTGCCTTCCACATCACGGTATGTACGATGAACAACAGTAATAGATAGCCATATGGACAGTTAGATATTGCCACGTACCCTTACGGCGACTACTCCACGCTGGAGAGGAGAATGCCTGCCCATAATAACGCGTTATACGCGTATACAAATCTGCCTTCCACGTCACGGTATGTACGATGAACAACGGTAATAGATTGATATGGACAGTCATATATTGCCGTTTACGGAGACTACTCCACGCTTTAAAGGGAATGCCTGCGCGTAATAACTCGATAGACGCGTATACAAACCTGCTTCCCATGTCATGATAATTGTACGATGCTAACATCATCATCAGCCTATTAATGTCCCTACTGGTCACAGACACACTTCATTATGGATGCAATAGGGATTTTGGGCCATGTTCCGCTGCGCCCGCCCTTTGCGGATTGGCGGGTGCTAACAACTGCAGATGCTCCGAGACCAACTGTTTAACGCGCGTTCCGAAGCATGGAGGAGCTAGAGATAACATATTTGGACCGACCCATCCAATGACCAACAATTGCGAAAGTTGCATAACTGCTACGATTGCAGACCGAACGCACTTACCCCCAACAACATACAATATAAATAAAAGTTATAGAAAAAAGGATGTACAGTTCTGTTGGTATTAGAATTATGAAATGCTCGAAGGACCAAAGAGTTTGGGACCATCATCATCATCAGCCTTTTGATGTTACTGCTGGGGCACAGGCATTCCTTATGGATGGCATAGGGAGATGGGGCCATGGCCCAGAACGTGGGCCCAGTGCGAATTGGTGGGAGCTAACGACTGCAGACACAGCCGGGGGACCAAGGGCATAACGTGCCTTCCGAAGCACGAGCAAGTTTGAGATCGATGTCCTATATACATTCTGTACGCGACGACCGAAGCGAGAGAAAATGAACTTACGACAATATGAGATTGATGTATAAAATGTATCTATAATTTCACATGTATCGGTTGTATACGCATTAAAAATATCATTCCCTTTTTGTCTTATTAGAATGAGTCGGATATCGCAATAATAGATAACTCTGCCCATAGTAAACCGTTGTAAAATTGATAGTTCAGAGCGCTATTCCGCCCCGTTCTCTCCAACAATCTTATAAGACTTTGTCTAAACGATCGCCACGACGCCAAGCGGTGGCGCGGGGAAACTAGTCAGAATACTGATAGTTCCGACCTATAGGAGGGACGGAGACAATAGGTTGTCCTTGTCTCACATCTTATAGGATTTTGCCTGAGTTGATAGTTTTCGATAATAATATGTTTTATGTTTTGATTGATTTATTTTATGTCTTATTAGAAAGTAGGTAGTTATAGGAATAATATATCAAAGTTTTGTGTGAATCGTGTTAGTAGTTTAAGCGTAATTAAGGAAAATATTGGGAATAGTTTTTTACGAATAGTCGATAGGATATAGGTATAATTGTTATAATAATGATGTTATTTTGTGTGTTTTTACTTCTTCCATAAAATGGTATATGATAGTTAGGCATTAAGTGAATGTAAGTAGGTTTTTTAAGACTTTTTAATTTGTAAACTTTATAGGGCCGCAGAGCTGTTGTTTGTTGATATTCTTGTAAGAAACTTGTTGTATTAGGTAGATAACGCGTTGGGGTACGTAAATAAATAGGTATCACATCAATAAATGTAAAAATGTACCATGTAGGAGACAAAATCTGTTTGTATAGAACCGTTTTTTGAGACATGTTGCGCTCCCGGGGCAGCGAAGCCCCGTGGCAGGGCGAAGCCCTATGGAGGGGGAAAGTATAAATATTGCGGAGACCTATTTTTTGCGCGCCACACCTAAAATATCATGCTTACGGACACATAACTGTGTTAAAAATATGCCTATATGTATGCCCGATGTATGTACAATTAGTTTTAAGCTCGCACTAATGTAATTTTTGAAAAAATGAAAAATAAAGTATAGCGTGGGTGAGGTAATGGATCGCTGGCCAGCTCAGTCCTAGCATATAAAATTCGAGTCGGAACATGCTCCGACATGCATTCAGCGACAGGCGCTCCTACCATAAGGAACAGGAAGAAACAATCAAGCGGTTCACTCTGGACAACATAAGCTCCTCTCAGCGGCCATCTATTCGAGCTGTACCCGGCGTGCCACGTACATTTTTTGGTCGCATCGAGCCGGATCTACAGCGCCGAGGAAGAATTGAAGAAAAATTATAGAAGATTGAAGAAAAATTATAGAAGATTGAAGAAAGAAGATCGTCGTGGTCAATTATAGAAGATTAAAGACAGAAAATATAGAAGATTGAAGAAAGAAAAATGCCACGAACACGATCTCAAGCTGACAAAATGGACCAGGCCGAAGAGGAGCGCATCGAGAGAAGCATCGAAGAGCCAGAGCGAACCGCCGCAGGAGAGAATCCTGTCCAACCCCCGTCAAGAGCGCCATCGGAAGGGAGCGACACCGTGACGCGGCCACCGTACCCGCTGCGCCACGACCAACCGCCGAAGTCGCCATCAGCTGCAATGACATCACACCGAACCGAATCGAAGATAGCTGCACGAAGAGCAGCAAAGAAGAAGCGCCTGGCGGCGTTATATGAAGAATTAGAGAAGACTATAAGGGCGAAGATACGAATGGAAGAGCAAGATAGCGAAGATGAGGACCAAGAGGACCCGCAAATAGAAGATAGAAGAGAAACCGATAGCACACATGGCACCGAGAATGAAGAACGCGTCATCACCTGGCTGGACACAGCGACAAAGGACACCACCCCCGACGGCGGCACCACCGAACCGTATAGAAGACCGACCGTCGAGGACACCGTACAGATTGGTGGGTCCGTCGCACCACTTGCCGAAGATCCAGTCCCAGGGGCGCTGAAGCCATGCATTAAGAAGAGTCCGCCGTCCCGTATTGATAAAGCTCAAGAACAAGTCGCCCCTACGTTGCCGCCACCGCCACCGCCGGTCCAGCAAGACAGAATGAACGTCTCCGAGCTGGCCGTCGCAATCAACGCCGTCGTCCGTGCCGCCGTACCGCCTGCACCGGGTCCACGCTACGTCGGAGAGCTGCCACCCTTCAGCGGCGCGCACACAGAATGGCTCACCTTCAGGGCGGCGTACCTAGAATCCGCAACCTACCTATCGTCGGCGGAAAACTCATCAAGATTAAGAAGAGCCCTCAAGGGGAAGGCAAGAGAAGCCGTGGGCAGCATGCTAATAAGCAACACTACGCCGGGCGACATTATGAAGCAATTGGAGCACAGATTCGGCCGCCCGGACAACATCACCGCAACCGAGATAGAAAAGCTGCGCCATTTACCCCGACTCACCGATTCGCCGAGGGACATCGTGATTTTTGCAAACAAAATCAAGAATAGCGTCGTCGCACTACAAGTACTGGGGCAAAACGAGTACCTACGTGCGCCGGACATCATGAAGACAATTATAGAAAAGCTGCCGTCGACTATCCGCTTCAGATGGAACGATTACGTCAACAATCACCGAATGCAAGAAAAAATGAAGACGGATCCGGAACTATTGATTTTCGCCGAGTTCATCGAAGTCGAGGCAGAGAATAACGCAAGATACGCCCCACCGGAGTACATTGGAAATGAAGAAAACTCCACAACAAGAAAATTTCGAACACATAACATCGAGGCGACACATAATAGAAGAGCGCCTGAAGATCGATTCCCATGTCCGGTATGCAAGAAATCCGGACATTCGACGGCCACCTGCTTTACGTTCAAGACCGCCGATCAAGATAGAAAATGGGAAATAGCGAAGAAAAGCAACCTTTGTTTCCGTTGCTTACAATACAGAAGCAAGATGCACAGATGCAAGACGCGAGCGTGCGAGAGGGACGGCTGCGAGCGCTCACACCACCCACTTCTTCACTACAAACCGAAGTCGCAACGTGAAGAAGAACCAGCCACGAGCAACACAGAAACCGAGAGGGTGGCCAGCACACACAGCAGCCGCAAGCGAGACGCGTACTTGAAGATAATTCCGGTTCGCATTACGGGACCGAGCGGACATTTTGATACGTACGCGCTACTGGACGACGGCTCTACAGTCACACTTATAGAAGAGAGGGCCGCCGAGAAAATAGGAGCCGAGGGACCTACCGAGCGACTGAAGATAGAAACGATCGACGCCAAGCTGCCAGAGACACAGTCACCTTCAAGATCGAGGGACAGAACAGAGGCTTCAAGGTGCAAGCACGCACCATCGACAAAATGAAGATTTCACCGCAAACCATAGAAGAAAGACACTTATGGGGCTGCAAGCACCTGCGGGGAATCGAGAAGCACGTCACCTATGAAGACGCCCGGCCGACCATCCTCATCGGGCAAGACAACTGGCACCTACTCTTGGCCAGCGAAGTCCGCCGGGGGAATAGAAGACAGCTAGTGGCATCGAAGACGGCTCTGGGATGGGTACTCCACGGCACAGACTCGCGCACCATCGGTCACCGGGTTCATTTCGTGAACCACCTCACCGAAGAAACAGAAGATTCGAAAATGGATGAACTACTTCGTCATCACTTCGCATGGGAATCGATCGACATCGAAAAGAAGAAACCGCTTTCCGATCCAGAGGAGAAAGCCATCAAGATGCTAGAAGAACACACCCACAGAAAAGAAGATGGAAAATTTGAAACCGCGCTACTTTGGAAGAAAGAGGACATCAAGATGCCCAACAATTATGAAAATGCGTACAGACGGCTGCTCACCACAGAGAAGAAAATCGACCGCGATCCACGCCTAAGGGGAAAATACATAGAACAAATGGACGCGCTCATCGAAAAGGGATACGCCGAGCGAGCACCGCCAACATCAACAGAAGATAGAACTTGGTACCTGCCGCATTTTCCAGTCATCAACCCGTTGAAGCCAAACAAGTTACGCATCGTACACGACGCAGCTGCGAAGACCGGAGGCACCTCACTCAACGACTGCCTTCTCACCGGGCCGGACCTACTTCGATCGTTGATAGGAGTCATGATGCGATTCCG